GGGAATGACGCCGCCGTGAACATTTGCACACAGGTTTTTGTGGACACGCGCTCTCCGTCCTCGGAGGCATGTGTCTGGGGGTGGGCTGCTGGGTCGCAGGGAAGTTCCACGTGTAACCTTTTGAAGAATCGCCCGATTGCTTTGCAAAGATGCTTTGCAACCATTTTACAACCCTGTTTGATGTGCCGAGTCTCAAGTCTCTCCTCTGTAAAACAGGGATAATAACAGTGCCTAGCTCCTAGGGTTTTGTGAGGATTAAGGGGTAGATTCATAGAAGCACTTAGAGTAATAAGTAATATAGTAAGCGTTCGGTATAGGAGAGTAAATGGTAGGTCTGATGGTGGGTAAAACATTCATGAATGTTATTTTAATTCATTTTTCAGTCTTATTTCTGGAATGATTTATTAGATGAATCAAAATATTTGTTATTAATAATTCGTGCGTTAACCAGTTGGTTGGGCTTCATCTCGCAAACTGAAGGTTTGGCAGTTCAGTCCCTGGTCAGGGCACATGCCTGGGTGGCAGGTTCAGTCCCCAGTCCGGGCATATACAGAAAGCAGCCAATCAGTGTGTTTCTCACATCGATGTTTCTCTTCCTCTCTTTCTCCCTCCCTTCCCTTCTCCCTAAAATCAAAAATATATATTTTTTTTAATTTAAGAGGTTAAATCGTTTGCAGAACTCTATTTGGGTGAGTTTCGAATCATCTCCAGAACTTTAACCCTATTTGAGAGACTGGGCTGGGGTGAGACGGAGGATGGGAATTATGAAATGCTTGAAATTGCACACGTGAACCCAGCAAACCACACCCCTGCATGCGCTGCAAGCCCCACCCCCACCGGAAACTGGGATCCATTCGGTCAGTTGCCCCGTTTGCATCGGAGGCCCCCCATTATCGGGCCCTCAGTACTCCTCTCCCCCCACAGCTGAGCTGTGGCAGGCCCTTGCCCACTGTGTTCTAGGAGTCTTCGGAGAAAGTGGTATCTTTCTTTACAAAGGTTTGTATTTTACTTTAAAAGGGAAAGCATCGAATAAAAAGGTATTTGTTGTTGAAACAAGATTACCCCTAAATCCCAGCCACTCATGATTTATTTGTTAGTGGACATTTGTGTTTATGGTGTTGAAGGAGCCTGTAATACTAGAAGCTTTGAAACTTTTTCTAACCAAGTGCCCGGGGGTCCACTCCATTTGGGACTCCCAGGATCCATGCGGACACGGAACGTTGATGGAGATCCCTTGCGCTTTCAGAAAGTGCGGCACTCTGCATCCGGGGCTGTTTCGGGTGGTGTGAATGCTCGTGAGCACTAAGTGCAACGAAGTAACACTCACGTAGTTCTCACCTTTGGCTAAAAATAAGATGGCGAATCCATTTCCCAGCCTTCAGAGAAGCCCCGGTGATGATTTACCGAAGATGCAAACCACTTCCCCTGTCAGAACGTCACGCAGGGAAGAGGGAGCCGCCCCTGAGCCAGCAGAGGGAGCGGGTGTTGAGGACCGGGGTGCGGCTGTTGCAGGTGTGGGGTAGTGCTGGGGGGCGGAGAGAGACAGGTGAGCGAGGCACGGGGCTCGGCTCACACCAGGTGTGGGTGCAGCCTGATGATGATGATGGTGATGATGATGGGCAGGAAGAGTCTGACAGATATGAGGGGAGGCGCTGCCCGGAGTCTAGGTTTTATAGACACAGTTGGGAGGGGTGTGTTTTTTTTTCCCTAAACTACGTGTTTTTTAAAAAGATTTTATTTACTTATTTTTAGAGAGGGAAGGGAGGGAGAGAGAGAGAGAGAGAAACATCAATGTGCGGTTGCTGGGGGCCGTGGCCTGCAACCCAGGCATGTGCCCTGACTGGGAATCGAACCTGTGACACTTTGGTTCGCAGCCCACGCTCAATCCACTGAGCTACGCCAGCCAGGGGCTAAACTACGTGTTTTAAATTGTTGCATGATAATCTCAGTACATCACCTCATATTCCATGAATACTGGTAATTTTTAGTTAAAAAATAAAAATGGCCCTAGCTGGTGTGGCTCAGTGGATTGAGCGCCAGCCTGTGAACCAAAGGTCATTGGTTCAATTCCTGGTCAGGGCACACACCTGGGTTGTGGGTCACATCCCTAGCTGGGGACATGCGAGAAACAACAGATCAATGTTTCTCTCCCTCTCTTTCTCCCTCCCTTCCCCTTTCTCTAAAAATAAATAAATAAGGTCTTTTTAAAAAGTGAAAATGATTCTTTTATTATTTATTAGACTTTTATTTTACATTTTTGACTACTTGTAGGCAAAATCTACTTTCCAGCTCTATCAAAGCATTTTTATGTAGTAGAATTAAAGTACATTGTAATTAATCAAAATAAGGTGGTTACCGCCTTATATTTACTAGCTATTGTTCTTTAAATGGCATTTTAGAAAATAACTATTATGACATGTTAATCTTTATAACCATAAAAATGTTCTGACAAATGCTAAGAGCTCAGCATTCCACTCTGATAAAAACGAAGAACTGGTACAAAACACAAGACAAAATAAATAGTGTGACATTCACATAGCCCCTATATATCACCATGGTCCTTCTGAAGCAATGATAGACTTCCAGGGTGTGCTCAGCCAGAGGGCATGCGGAATATTTACCGAATATTCGGTATGTACTTCACCACTCAGCAAAATTACTGACTACTCACCGTGGCGAGCCACTGTGCTGGGCGCTGGGGACGAAGGAGTGAGTCCATGTGTCCTCCTCACTTACTGTTCCTAAGAGTTCAGTGGGGAAGACGGGCAAAAACCAATTCAGTAAAACTAACAGGAAAAATGACAAAATCGTGGTATATGTCATTAAGGAACAAACAGACCATTGTAGGTCTAGACTTATCAAAGTATAAAGTTCCAATTTCAGTTTCTTGCCTCGGTATTTCATACTTTTATCTTGTTCCATTATAACTTAGAAAAGAGCTTATGGATTTGAGCAAATTGTGTGCGTACATTTATTTATGCAACAAAGAGCTGCTGATTGTTTGTGTGTCGGGCCCTGTTCTGGGCCCAGGAGAGGGAGCAGCGGACACAGCGAAGTCCTTGTGTTTGGGAGACTTTGTCCCGGTGGGAAGACAGTAAACTAACAAGTGCTTCGTCCCGGTGGGAAGACAGTAAACTAACAAGTGCTCGACGTCAGGAAGTGATCAGTGACGTGGAGGAAAACAGAGTAGCTGGAGGACAGTGACCAGGGTGCTGTTTTATTGGGTGGATTGAGGAGGAGTCTGTATGGAGAGAAGGGTTTTCCTCCTTTTGTCTCTTGGGTCAGTTCAGTTCATGGACACAGAGAATTCTAGATAATTTTCCGATCTGTTGGTATCGTTCACATCCATGAAGAGAGCGATGAGGAGGGAGGCCTCCTTCTTTCCAGTTCCCGCCTCTGCAGGAGAGAAATGCCTGCTTGCTTTTCTTCGCTCCGTTTTCCTTCCCCCGCACGTGTGCCTGCCCGAGCACCTTCACCCGTCCACCGTCCGTCCCTCCCTGCTACCTTGTATCCAGAAAAACACGCTTTGGTATCTGTTCCAACTTTCCAAAATCGTGGGATATGATTTATCTGATTAAAAATTATATCGTACAATGAAATGTCTTCCAGATGTTTTATTCGAACGTGGAGAAAGCTCTCCTCTCCAAATCTTTCTCCTAGCAAACTCTCAGCCATGGAAATCTGACGTCTTGGGTGATCTTAGTGATCCCAGCCTCCCTGCCCCAAAGCCCTAAATAAAATCGTACACCGCGCAAGTGTTCTATAGCGTGGCACAAGTCTAAAATAGGTAGCTGGCACGCGCCCCGCACCTCGCTTCTGGCTGACGGACTGGTGCCATAAATAGCGCACTGCTACGCGATCGGACTGCAACTCACTACCAGGGATGGGGTTTTTGTTGCCTGACACATACGTGTAGTTTCTGGTATTCAACAGAATCAGGGTCTAAGTCACCGGACCCCAACTGTATCGTAGTTTCTTGGGAGGATTGTGCACATGAGTAGCCAACTTGTTTTGGATGGAATTCAAGACAGCCCGGTCCTATACCAAATTCTGCGTCGTGGATCGGAGTGTTAGAGCAGAGGTTTGTTTGCCTCTGGCCCCTTCCGTGCACGTGAGTGAGATCGCCGCTGCTGTTGGGGGACGACGCCCAGGGGGTTCCGGCCCAATGAATTAAAAATTCTCAGGTAGGCCTGAGAAGACACCTTGGTAGTTTTATAAAACCGTTTTTTTTCTGGAATGAAGAGCGTGTTTTAAAACCCTACCCACGGTTGGAATATAGCGGTTCTTGTTTCTGACTCTTTGCTGGAATGTATTGTTTTTATGTCAGAAGGGTTTTTAAAGCCTGTAAGTTACCAGCGCATTACTTCATAAATTCCTTAGCAATAACTCAGAAGGTGGACCTCGGGGTATTTATCCAGATAAGTCTGTGCCCTTTTTTGTGCAAAGCATCGCTGGGTAGGTATCTAGTGGTCACACATAGGGTCCGATTTGTGCTTTAGATATTTTGGCGTTTATTGGGTCTTTTCCAGAATGGCAGTGTGTTTATTGTATTGCTTAGAAGTCAAAATACCAGACCTGAAACAAGTGAATTTTTAAAATTCCCTATGCTAATGATTTATTGGTCATTGCTGTTCAAAACGCCGTGTACTGTCGCATCCAGTTTGGGACACAAGTAAAGGAAGTGTCTCTGGTGTCCCAGCGACAGGCAGCTCTTCCCCTAAGGCCAGCTTCGCCCGTTTGCTTACAGGGCTTCGGCACAGGCTGTAGTCGGAGCTTTACAGACCCCAGCTACGTCGCTTTCCACGGGTCGCTGAGGATCCACACGGATGAAACATGTAAAAGCCAAAATTCCGTTCAAGATCCCCGACTTTCAGTCTACCAGAGAGGGATGACGAAAGCATTTACCTGTAGCTTTTATAACTGCACGAATATTTGCTCTAGGGGATTTAAAAGGGGAAGAAGAAAAAAGAAAACACCCAAACCACTGACTGTTTGTTTAGCAGGTTGTAAACATGGCTGTGTGGATCCAGGCCCAGCAGCTGCAGGGAGACGCCCTCCACCAGATGCAAGCGCTGTACGGCCAGCATTTCCCCATCGAGGTGCGCCACTACTTGTCCCAGTGGATTGAGAGCCAGGCGTGGTGAGTGCACAAAGTCTCCTTCATCACATTTCATGAGGTGCAAGCATGCAAGTTTGGAAAGATAACAGGATGGACACTCCAGAACTTGTACGTTAAAAAAAAAATTATGACCCACAAGAAGGTCGCAAAAATCACCTGGGATTTTTTTTTTAAGATTTTATTTATTTATTTTTAGAAAGGGGAAGGGAGGGAGAAAGAGAGAGAGAGAGAAACATCAATGTGCGGTTGCTGGTGGTCGTGGCCTGCAACCCAGGCATGTGCCCTGACTGGGAATCGAACCTGCGACACTTTGGTTCACAGCCCATGCTCCATCCACTGAGCTACACCAGCCAGGGCTGGATTTTAGGAAGATGGAATAACTCTTGGGGTTTTTAAGATGGGATATCTTCCCTTTAATAGTAAATTCTGGCTAAGAACATTTGAGCATTATAGCTAATAAAAGAAACCATTAGCAAGTAGGTTTTGAGTGCCCACAGGGTGCCTGGCAGAGTGGTAGGGAGTAGAGTTCCTATGGAAACAATGAAAACCCTTATCCACGTGGAATTCAGTGCCAAATGCAGAGATCAGGTATATCTAGTCGCATAATTTAATAAAGTGTATTCCTGACAAATTTAACAATGGAGACGTCGGCATTTTTAAATGTATATGTCATTTATGTATACACATTAAAGGCTAAAAGACAGTACACCAAAACATTGACTATAATTATATCTTGGTGGCACGTTTAACGAGCATGTTTATTTTTCTTATTTTCCAAATTACAATTTATATATTCGGGGGGGGAGTGTTTTAAAACTCTGATTTCAGAGTCACTATAGTGCCGTAACCTGGTAACAGAGCTGTTTAATGGACATCAGTTCCACCCCAGGCGGCTGGCAGTCCGTGGCTCCTCCGCTCGGGGGCCTGGCTCCTGTCATTTGGTCGCCAGCCGGGCGGTCTGACCTGACGCGTCCGTGCTGTACTGCTGCGTGTCACTGCCGCCACGGGTGGCGGGTCCCCTTCGACCGCCTGGGCGGAGCCAACCTTTACGCTGCCGTGGAGGAGGGCTGGGCATCCGGCAGAGACTTCGTCCTGGGATAATTGCAATTGTGTGTTCGTAGCAGAGTTTTCTCCCGAAACTAGAGAGCCCCAGGAAGGCAATTTTCTAGGCAATTAAAAAAAAAATCTCAGCCTCGTGTAATTAAGTGAGAAAAAAGAGAGCGAACTGTGAGCATGTCGACTGCACCTTGCTCAGTGCTTTTCCATTTCCTTCTCTGTTGTAATGATTCGGGGAGCTCAGAGACACCTTAATGGAAAGTGTCTGTTGATTTAAAATTTCACTTAGTAGATTTCCCATGTCCTTGTCTTTTCTTTTCTTTTCTTTTCTTTTCTTTTCTTTTCTTTTAAAAAAGATTTTGTTTATTTGCTTATAGAAAGAGGGGGAGGGAGGAGAGAGAGAGGGAGGGAAACGGCGACCGATTGCCTCCCCAAACCAGCGACCTTACATGCTGCAGGACGACGCCCCACCGACTGCCCTGCCCCGTCAGGGTCCGTGTCTTCTTACTGAATGAATGAATGCTCCACGGCTTGTGTCGATATTCAGGGAAATCTGAGTTTTATTTCATTAAAAATATTTTTTGATTACAGTGACATACAAGATTATTCCAGTTTCAGGTGTACAGTATAGTGATGAGACATGTATTTAACTTACGAAAGGGCCACCCCAGTAAGTCTAGAATTTTCCTTAGTTTTAGTTTTCTTAAGAATATAAAGATTTTAAATATTTACTTGTTTTTAGAGAGCGGGGAAGGGAGGGAGGAAGAGAGGGAAAGAGACACGCGCACGTGTGCGCACGCCGAGCCGGGGGCCGAACCCGCAGCCGGGAACACGCCCTGACCCAGAATCGGACGGGCGTGACGTTGCGCTTTGCAGGGCTAAGTAACCGAACTCACTGAGAAACACCAGCCAGGGCAAGAATGGAAAGATGTTAATAAAATTCTTCAGCTCTCCATGTGTATGCTAAGAAAAAGAGGTTTTTTTTTTTGGCTGAGGATTAAGTGTGAGAATCAGTACCTGGTTTCCGTGAGTTCTGCCCCGAGACTGGATCTTTTCGAGAACAGCTTCCTCAGATGAGGAGCGTGCTTGCCGGTCACAGCGGGGGCGTGCAGGGCCGTCGTGCGTCCCATCCAGGCTTGCATTTGACATTTATTTCACTTAGTCCGCAGGGCATACCGTTTAGAACTTGGCTTTCCCTGCTGCCTTCTCCAAGTGCAGATTTGAGCGTTTTGTTGTCTGTCGTTGGTGTCTGGGCACACCTGTGTGTGCCTCTGTTTGAAATTAGTTGCTGTCCCCATGGGGTTAGAGATAACAGCACTTTTTAAAAAATCCTCACCCGAGGATGTGTTTATTGATTTGAGAGAGAGAGAGAGAGAGAGGAAGCGAAGGAGGGAGAGAGAGAAAGAGATACAGAAACACTGATGTGAGAGAGAAACATGGATTGTTACCTCCCATACACACCCTGGCCAGGAATCAAACTTGCAGCCTAGGTATGCACCCTGACTGGGAATCGAACCCACAACCCTTTGGTGCATGGGACAGCGCTTGGACCAACTGAGCCACCCACCAGGGCGAGATGATGGCACGTGTTGGCCACCACCAGATCCCTCGTTGGCTTCAGATCTGGGCAGCAGGAGCTGAATGTTACGTCAGTCTGGTAGCTGTTCTGACTAATTTAGCCCCGCCAAATAGCCAGTTGTTGCCTAAGTTGTTTAAAAACAAAACAAAACAAAACAGAGTCAGTGAGGAGGTTGAGAATGGGGGAGACGGAGGGGGGAGGGAAGGAAGGAAGGAAGGAAGGACGGACTCACCGTCCTGACCCTGTCACCAGTTAAATGGCTCCGAATTAGCACAAAGGCCACAGAATGGTTTCTCTGATGCCTGCAGGTCCCCAATCTGTATCTGATGCAAAGACTTACAAGCATATTCTGTCTTAATATCTCATTTCCAAGGCTTCTTAGAAATAGCAGTAAATGTTGTTTCCCCTAAGAAACACCCTGTGTGAAGTTAGCAACGTGGTTGAGGGTGGAAAACAATGGAGAACGTTCTCAGCCCTGTGGCCCTGACCCTAGAAGGGGCAGCTGTAAACCAGGGACCGTCAGAGTCCTCATTTCCTTCGGCGTCCACACGGCGCTTCCCCTGTCCCTTCTTTCCTAGCGGAGGACAGCGTGAGTCCCAGCGCGCGTCGTCGGTAGGAAGAAGGACAGAGGGCAATACGCTGTAAAAAGAAAATAAACCACAGTGCAGTCCACTGGGGGCGGTAGTGGATTCGGAATGGGCGAATGCAGGCACCTAGTCCATTTACATCGAACTTGCCTACAATTTGCAGAGAGTGTTCTGTAGAAATCACTGTAGCCAAAGAAAGGCGTGATGTGTTGGGGATGCATTGACATAGGCTCATGTGCATGTATGTATACATATGTATGTAATTTCTTTCCCCTAGGGACTCAATAGATATTGATAATCCACAGGAGAACATTAAGGCCACCCAGCTCCTGGAGGGCCTGGTGCAGGAGCTGCAGAAGAAGGCCGAGCACCAAGTGGGGGAAGACGGGTTCTTACTGAAGATCAAGCTGGGGCACTACGCCACGCAGCTCCAGGTGGGTGTGGGGGCCGGCGGTGGCCGCCTTCTCCCTCCAGCACCAGCACCCGGGGTTTTTCCTGGCCTGGCCACTGACTCACCGCCTGACCCTCGAGCTGATCGGCACCTCTTCGGTGCTTGATTTCCCCCACCCCCTCTTTCTGCATCAGACCTGTGGGAGTCCTCTAGCACGTGACACAGCAGGGGGGTCGGGTGGGTTTGCTCCCAAGACCGGGGGACAGGCTGAAAAAAGGCACTGTGGACTGGGCGAGCAGAAGGGACGGGGGTAGACTGAGTCAGGGAAGCCTGAGAGAGTCTAGAGTTGAGGGGGTGAGGTGCCCAGACGCCCCTCTTGGGGCTCTGGGACGGGCGGGAGAGCTCCTGGAGTGGGGCAGGAGAGGGGCGGGGTGCACCTGGGGGCAGGGCGGGCCAGAAGAGCCTTGATTGGGGTTTAGCTGTCAGATGCAGCTTCTTCTTCCCAGGGGGGTGGAGGGGAGGAGTAGAGGGGAGAGAGGAAGTTTTTGTGGAAGCAAGAAAGCGGTGTGGGTGGTGACCCCAGTCAAGCATTTACTAGAACTCATTAGTATTCCTTCAAGAACCGTTCTTCAGTATGAGCAGCAGATGCCAGGAAAACGAAAGGCCTCTCCCCAGAGGGGGAGGAAGCAGGAGAAACCCGGGGTGCAGAGGGGAGCAGGACGGGAACCCAGAGCTGGAGCATGCTGGGAAGCACCTCGACCTTGGCACGAGGTGCTCAGAGTGTTGAGTCATCTGCTCCCTCACTGGTGTGTCTGTGGATACGCACTTAACCTCTCTGCACATCAGTTTTGTCACCTTTGAAATGGGGACAGTCATTTCTGCCGTGTGACAGGGTTTCTGTGCCATAGGAGACGGTCGAGTGGAAGTGCTTTGTACACGGGGAGCCTCTAACAATGCAAACCAAGCGAAGATCTGGTGGGGGCGGGGGCCAAGTCCAGGAGACACAGAGGTGTCTGGCGAGAGTTCCCGAGGCTTCCGGGGAAGCTGGGGCGAGGGCTGGGGGGAGGAAGGTTGGGCGCAGCCCTGCGACAGGCAGGGTGGGCGCGGAGGACGGCCCCCGTAGCTGCTCTCGGACCCTTTCAGAACACGTATGACCGCTGCCCCATGGACCTGGTGCGCTGCATCCGGCACATTCTGTACAACGAGCAGAGGCTGGTCCGAGAAGCCAACAACGTGAGTGTCCCGTGGCGCTGGGCAGCGGGGTCGGGAAGCCCCTCCCGGGCAGGCACGGCCGCCACTTCTCAATACCGAGCGGGAGGGCAGCCCAGAAGTCAGGGACACGCGCAGGTGTGAGGGCGGTTTCATGTGCAGGTACAGAGGGACCCCCTGGCTCCAGGCCCTGCCACTTCCTAGCCGTGGAACCCGAGCAAGTGCCCGGACTTCTGTGAGCCTGTGTGTCTTCAGTGATCAGTAGGGACAGGAATAGCACCTCCTTGCAGGGTTAGTGTGACGGTTAAATGAGATACTGCATGGGCCAGGGATAGACCAACAGACCAATGAAACAGAAGAGGAAGCCCTCACTCAACACCCCACACGCACACTCACACACACGCACACACACACACACACACACACTCACACACACCTGGAAGCTCTGCCCAAGTCGGCGGTGGCCGTACAGATCACCAGGGAAAGGCTCTGTCACTCAGCAGTGGGGCCGGGCCAGCAAGAAAGCCTGTCTGGTGCGGGGTCCGGGTGGGAAAAGCGAACGCAGGCACGCTGAGAGCGTGAGGCCCCGGGGGGCGGGCCAGGGGCCCATCCCCCGAGTTCGGAGTCCTAGAGGCGTGACCGTCTGCCTGGACGGGGGTGCAGACCTCGCAGGGTCTGAGTAAAACACGGCGGACTTCGTGAAAGGACGTCGGGCAGGTGAGGCCACGGACTGGTGCCTGGGGCCCGGGCCCTGCTTTCTGTGCCCGTGTTGTTGCGGGCGCTGGTGTCAGGAACCGGTTCAGTCAGCATCTCCAGACGTCCTGCCGTGTGTGTGTGTGTGTGTGTGTGTGTGTGGCCGGGTCTGGGCTGCGACCGGAGAAGCACACGGAGACCTGGTCCCTGCCGAAGGGAATTCAGGTGGCGGCAGGTTCCCCAGCGGTGGGCCGGCTGAGTGCTGGGGCACGAGTGGGAAAGCACCCAGGGCAGCCGGGGCAGGCGGTCAGCGGGGCGGGGGTGGGGAGGAGCGGGAGTTACTTGTGAGGGCAGGAAGGCGGGAGCCACCTTAGCACACTTGGAGACCTGCAGGTAGCCAGAGCAGCTGGGGAGCGGGGAGCCGGGCGGGGAGCCCTGGCGGGGGAGGCCAGAGAGGAAGCAGGAGCCGGGCCACAGAGGGTCCCGCAGGAGCCCCCTGCTGTCCCCTGACTCGCTGCTGCGACCACACAGCTGTCTGCAAGTGTGCGAATGGCTCTGGCTCCAGCCGACAGAGCCGACTGAGCCGTGTGTGTGGTGCAGGCGTCGTCCCGGTCCGAGGGTGGGGGTGGGAACCACGCCTTCCCCAGCCTCTGATGCCCTCGGCCTTGGGGACTCTGGGTGCACAGGACAGACGCGGTCCCAGCTCCGGGAAGGCCCCCATCCCGGTGCCCGGAGCAGACGAGGAGTGAGCACAGGAGCTAGACGCCCTCGGAGGAGGGTGGCGCTGTGTTCCCTCGGCGCTCAGAGAGGCCGCCCTGAAGGGTGCCCGTGGGAGTCCCGAGTGAGGCAGGGGTGGGGCCAGAGTGTTCCAGAGAGACGGACCCCCCACGGCGAAGGCCCTGAGGCAGGCACGTGCTGTGTGTTGAAGGAGTGGACAGTGACCGGCCGGCTGGGCAGCGGCAGCTCTCGGCCAGGGCAAGGGGGCTGCGGAGAGGGGTGTGGAATTTGTCCCGAGACAGGTCATTGGAAAGGCCCTGGAGACTCAGTTGGGAAAAGCTCAGACCAGGTCACTTAAATGTCTGGATCCCCGAAGCCCTCGCCGATGCCTCCCCGGTCCCTTGTGACTTCACTTTGGGGTGTTCAGGACACCCCCGTGAGAGGTGACCCTGTTCCCCCCTCCCTCAGATCAGTCACGGTGGGCCTGGACAGAGGACGGAGATGGTGTGAGCTCACCTCGCCTCCATCCCCGCTCTGTCCCAGCGCCCAGCACAGTCCCGGGGGCTGGATCGCTGGAAGAATGTGGGCGGTGGGTCATCATCATCATCATCATCGTTAGCAGGAAAACGCAGGAGCTCTCGGGGTGTGCTGAGCTGCAGTCTCTCCGAGAGAACTTAGAGGGACCGTGTTGGGGCCGCCCTGGCGGAGGCCGGCCCTGCAGCAGGAGCTCCTGCTGTGCTGTGTGAAGACCCCGGGGTCTGCCAGCGCCCGCGCCTCTGCCCCTCTTGGCCCCTCCGCCCAGTGGGACAGAGGACTGTCCCTGGACTCGGAGTCTGGGGTCTGCCGTGTTGGCGTCCCCCAGGCCCGAGTGAGGTTCTCTCCCACCTCACTGCCCAGCTCACTGCTGCCCGCACTTCTGACCTGTCTCCAGGGCGCCTCTCCCGCCGGGACCCTGGTGGACGCCATGTCCCAGAAACACCTGCAGATCAACCAGACGTTCGAGGAGCTGAGACTGGTCACGCAGGACACGGAGAACGAGCTGAAGAAGCTGCAGCAGGCCCAGGAGTTTTTCATCATCCAGTACCAGGAGAGCCTGCGGATCCAGGGTGCGGCCGCTGCGGGGGGGCGCTGGGTGTCGGGGGCGGGAGGGAGGGCCACTGTGGGAGCTCCTGCAGGGTTGGGGCTGGGCCATGTCTGTTTCGGGGAACCTTCCCCAAAGCCTGGGAGGAGTACTGGCCGCTGGGGATGGCCCCCTGCTGTGGCCACCCCCCTTTGCATGCGTGATTCAGTGGAACCCTTACAACAGCTCTAGGGTGTAGACAGAGGTGTTATCCCCACTTTGCAGACGGTCACACTGAGGTTCACAGAGAACAAGAGACGTGTCCTGTGTTGCTTGAAAGTTGCAGAGATGTGTCATCAAATCCCTGTGCTTTAGTAACTAACATTCTCTCCCTAGTTGTGGGTGGTCAAGTGAATATCTCAGTGAGTGAGTGAGCGAGTGAGGGACTCAGTGAGTGTGGGCAGAACGTTCCCCAATGAGAGGGAGAGGTCAGCTGGGCGTCCGGAGGCGGAGCCAGGCGGGGGAGGTGGAGCTCGGGATGCGCCCTCTGTGGCCTCCCTTCCAGGGGACGGAGCCGGCAGGAGGGTGACAGTGGGAAGTTCTCCCGACCCCCAGCCTGCAGTTTGCCCGTGACTGCCGTGACGAGGGTGTGGGGACAGAAAAACCGGCTGCGGGAAGTGAGCCCGGGCACAGGCTGAGGAGTTGGAATCGGGGTCCCGTCTCCCTCCCCCCAGACCCACCCGGGCTGCACCCCCCTCCAGGCCCAGGGAGAGCAGGGCCGCCCAGCTGCCTTTCCCTTCCCTCCTCCTTTCTTGCCTCTTTGGGTGGAACCTTAGGTCGCTGATTTCAGACCTTTCTTCTTCTTCTCCGATAGAAACGTTCAGAGCCGTAAGTTTCCCACGAAGCCAAGTTTCAGGTGCATCTCGTGGTTTTGCGTGTGCTGTGTAGTCACTGTGATTCAGTGTGAGCTGCTTCCTACTTTCTCTCCTGGTGCTTCCACCCATGCGTTTAGAAGGACATTGTTGATGTCCAAACTTAGTTTTCTCTAGATGTCCTATCATTATGATTTTATTTTCATTTCGTGATTGAATTCCACTGAGTCCGAGAGCATGCTCGGTATGGTCTCGATTCTTTTAAATTGACTGGGGCTTGTTCTGCGGCCCAGCCTGTGTTCAGTCTCGGTGACTGTCTCTGGCGGACTGGAAAAGGATGTGTTTTCCACAGTGTTTCTTCCAAAAGCAGCACTAATAAATCCAATAATGTTAACAAACACAGCAATAATACTTATTTTTAAATCTATATTTAAGTGTAGGGCTGATATATTACATGTATGTTCTAGTCTAGATATATATAGAATATTATATATTACACATGTGTATAATATAACTAGTCATATATAATATACTATATATGATATAAAACATATTATAAATATTTATATATATTTACTATGTTAACATAATACCAAAAAATCTAAAAACAAAAGACTAACAACACCTGTATTTTCCAAAACAGCCTGTACTGAGCACAGTGGCATTGCTGTACGTTTTTACAGGTCTCTGCAACGTCAGGGGGAATAGGATGTGGCCAGACCTTCCTATCAATTGTAGTATCGCCTGCCTTCCAGCCTCTAGAGAATTCCAGTGCATAATTATGAGGGATTAACAAAGGAAAAGGCAAAGTCCTAGGACTCTGAACACAGTTTGGCTGTGTGGGCCTCCCGTAGGGTCTCAGGCCCCCCCCCCCCGGCATCCCGGGCCCACACGTGGGGACCCACCGGTGTCTGTCTGTCCGTGCGTGTTTAGTTACGTTCAGCCCGATGGCTCCGTCAGATGCTGACAGAGAGGCGCCCAGATCTCCTGTCACTCTGTGGGTCCCTGTGCTTCCCCGGTTGTCTCAGTGAATGTGTCCTTCATGTGTTCTGGAGCTTTGTGAGCAGGTTCATGTGCATGTATGATCGTGAGTAATTATGCAATCTCTTTCTCGACCTCTGGCCCTCACGGCTGCCCTGCGAGGCGTCCCTAGGGCTTCTCTGGCCTTCTGGTTCCCCGTCGCTCGGCACGTCCGCGTCCACGCTTTTCTCGTTCACAGCGGGGACAGCAGGTGGCCGTCTCGCTCTGTGTGTCTCCCGGCCGTCGTCCTTCTGATGAAGGTGTCCAGTGCCTGAACACTGAGTGTCCTATTTAACACTCTGGGTCTGGGTCTCTGCTCAGTAGCTACTCTGATTTGTCCCAGATCAGTTTTGTGTCTCTCTTCCTGCTTTTTAAATTGATTATTTAATGTTTTGGGGTTCTCCTTTCCTTTGCCTCTTTGAGCCTCCCCCTCACCGGCCGGTCAGTGTGTCCTGTGCCCCGAGGCCAGCGTGTGGCCCGGACGCCGCAGGCGTGGAGTGGACGGTGGCAGGTGGTTCTGGCCCATCTGCCTCCAGCGGGTCCCACCCAGGCTGGCCCCGAGAGGGCGTCCCCCGTCCCAGCTCAGGGAACCGGAGACGCAGGCTCCCGTCCTCCCCAGGCCGTGGGCTGGCAGACGGCCCCGTGGTCCTGTTCCTGGGTTTCGGCCTCCTCCCCGTGGGTTTGAGCTGGACTCTGGCTGGGTCCGTGCCCACCGTGCCGGGCAGTTCAGTCTGAGCTGCCCCTTCCCATCAGAAACACAGACCATCGACCCATTGGTGCAAGTGGGGGCTCAGCTCCCTGCGGTGGGGTGGACCGTCACTCCACGTACCCTGGTGTCCATCCCAGGAAGCTCTGCCACCTGCCAGGGGACCCCCTAACTGGGCCGCTTGCACAGGGAGGCTGGGCACAGGTGCCGGGGGCGCCGCCACCTCCCTGTGGGGGCAGGCTCCCTGGGGTGGCCATCAGACCACTCTGCTGGGCTCTGGGCCGGACACCGCTCCTCCCGCTCAGGCCCCGCACTGGGATGGAGCCGCATTTCCGAATTCTCGCGCAGTTCCGGCCTTCCCGGCGTCTGGAGTTCTTCGGCCTGTCCCGGCTGGTGCGGCCACGGGGCTGGGCCTCGGGCAGTGAGGCATGGCCCTCCAAGGCCTGCCGGGAACTGGCCCAGGACATGCTGATGCTCAGATCTTCTTGACTCAGCCCGAGTCAGAACACCGGGTGTCCCAGAGGCTATTGGCAGGGGGAAGTCGTTATCCCCCCCACAACCGGGCTTGTAGGAGAGCGGTTCCCTCTGTGGCGGGAGGGGCGGGCCTGCAGGCTGCAGGGTGGGGGCAGGTGGCTGTCACTGTGGAAATGTCCGATTCCTTGAGCTGGGATGTGGATTCACAGGTGTTTTTTTGTGTCATTCTTTCTACCTTCCTGATGTCTTAAGCATTTCATCACTTATTTTTTTAAAAAGTATATTTATTTATTTTTAGAGGAAGGGGAAAGGAGGGAGAAAGAGAGGGGGAGAAACTTCGGTGTGAGAGAGAAACATCGGCCAGTGGCCTCCAGTGCGCCCCCCGCCGAGTCCCGGGCCTGCCACCCAAGCCAGTGCTGTGACAGGGAATCGCACTGGTGACCCCGACCTGCTGAACCACACCAGTCGGGGCTCGTAACTTACTTTTTAAACAAGGGTGGTTAGGCCCCCCCGAACCCCCGTCCCTGCCATGGGTGCGCTCCCTGTCGCTGGTGGGAAGAGAGCCGCCTCCCTGTCCTGAGGGAGTCGTGCTGCTTCTGCGTGGGCCCCGGGTTCCCTTTCTCTCCCTGCCTCTCCGTGTCTCTGTCAGACCCTCTCGCTCCCTCCCCTTTCTCCTCTGTCTTCTCTCTCCTCTTCCTGCCGGGCAGCTGAACCCGCGGGGACCAACCCGGACCAACTCGCTGGGCCCGTTCAGCACAGGCAGCCCTGCCTTCCGCCCTGGGGGCGGGTCCTGTGCCCCGGGCGGTGGCCCTGGGCCGTGGGACAGGCCTTCCCTGACGAGGCTTTGCGGGTGGGGTTGGGGCCGAGAGCTGCTTGTGTCCGTCCCCCTGTCTCCTGTCCCCCTGTCCCCCCGTCCTGGAGCCCAGTGAGCAACGAGGACTGACTCTCACCCGGAGCTTCCACGGCTGGGCAGCCTCCCGGGCGTTTTCTGTGTCACCACTTTGTGATCCCCATGGCAACCCACTGCGGCCGGAAACAGGGTTCTCCCGTTCTGCACTGGGGGAGCCTGAGGCCCCGGGGAGAGAAGTGATTTGCCCGAGTCCACGGAGGCAGGAAACGGCCGGGGCAGACCTGGGACTGGGCAGTGTGGCACCGAGCTGGACCCCAGGGTGGCGTGAGGAAGGCCGGCAGCCAGCTGTGTGGGCCAGGGTGCTGGGGTCCTCCTCAGCTGGACCCACGAGCTTCTGTCTCCCCAGCTCAGGAGGGGCGCCCAGAGTCGGGGGCCCAGGGAGTGGGGCCGGCTCACCGTGGGCGCCCGGGGCTACCGGCGCCCTGAGGTGCCACTGGTCAGACGGGTCAGCGTGAGGGTCTTGGGCGCTGGGAGCTGGGAGATCATGGCCGCGGCTGTCCCGTCCCCTCCTGCAGCTCAGTTTGCCCAGCTGGCCCAGCTGAACCCCCAGGAGCGTCTGAGCCGGGAGTCGGCCCTGCAGCAGAAGCAGGTGTCCCTGGAGGCCTGGCTGCAGCGGGAGGCCCAGACGCTGCAGCAGTACCGCGGGGTGAGTGGGGCCTGGGTCCCCGTCCTGCGGGCTCAGGCCCACGTCCCAAGTGTCTGTCGGGGCACCTGAGAGAGGGGTGGAGCCGGCAAGACAGCAGGGCCTGGGGGGAGCAGGAGGCCTGTGGGGGCCTGGGAGGAGGAGCGGGCCGGGGAGAGGGGCGGCCCTGCCCCCCGCTGAGGCCCTGCAGGGCTGTGGTCTGGGAGCCCAGAAGGGCCTGCTGTCCCTGTCTCAGGAGCTGGCCGAGAAGCACCAGAAGACCCTGCAGCTGCTGCGGAAGCAGCAGACCATCATCCTGGACGACGAGCTGATCCAGTGGAAGCGGCGGCAGCAGCTGGCCGGGAACGGAGGGCCCCCTGAGGGCAGCCTGGACGTGCTGCAGTCCTGGTACCTGGTGTGGGGGCCGGGCAGGGCGCCCAGGCGGGCAGGGCGGGCAGGGGCCCGGGACGGAGCTCCCTGCTGCGTATTCTGCTCCCGTGTGTCCACGAGCGGGCGGCGCGCTCCGTCCTGAGGCAGGTCTTACTTCCCCCCGTGGGTTTGGCTCCTGGCACAGACGTGGTGCCCCCAGGCCTGCCCCTCCCTGGGCCGGGACTCACTGACTTGGGGAGTGGAGCAGGGCCGGGGTGCACAGCGAGGCTGGGGCTGGTCGTGTCCCTGTCAGAGCCGCCCCTCTCGTGTGTCTCTCTGTTCCTGGGAGGGAGGGCGGCTCTGCTCTGCTCGGTTCACAGGGGGGCAGCCCGGTCTTGGGGGGCTGGCCCCGGGCTGGGAGCCTCTCCACCTGTGTCCTGGGGCACGGGGTGAAGCCATGGTCTTTCCCTTTGGCCTCGGGCTCGTGGGCAGGTGTGAGAAGTTGGCTGAGATCATCTGGCAGAACCGGCAGCAGATCCGCAGAGCTGAGCACCTCTGCCAGCAGCTGCCCATCCCCGGCCCCGTGGAGGAGATGTTGGCTGAGGTCAACGCCACCATCACAGACATCATCTCGGCCCTGGTGACCAGGTGACTATTGCCCCTCAGCCACGCCCAGCCCCCAGTGTGGTCGGCAGGGCGGGGTGGGGGGTGGGGTGGGAAGCTGGGGGTGCTTTGCCAATGGCAGGCTGTTGCTTGAATCCTTGTCTCCCCGGTGGCCGTGACTGCTCGGTGTTGACCTTTCCCTTGTGAGCGCCACACGGGCTGCCCTGGTTTCCTGCAGCCCCTTCCCGCTGCCAAGTTCATTCCACTGCCCCCCTCCCCTCCCGCCCTCCCCCGACTCTCAGTGGCCTCCCTGGGAACAGGGTCTCCGGTCTGCCCCGCGCTCCTCCTCCACCTGCTGAGCCCTGTGTATGGCCCCTCCCCGCTGCTGCTGGGAGGGGCCGGAGCCCCGCCCCTGAGGCCGCGCCTCCCGTGTCCCTGCAGCACCTTCATCATCGAGAAGCAGCCCCCTCAGGTCCTGAAGACCCAGACCAAGTTCGCGGCCACGGTGCGGCTGCTGGTGGGCGGGAAGCTGAACGTGCACATGAACCCGCCCCAGGTGAAGGCCACCATCATCAGCGAGCAGCAGGCCAAGTCGCTGCTCAAGAACGAGAACACCCGCAAGTACGCACGTCCTGCCTCACCCGAGCCCCTGTCCTTAGTCCTGGAAATCGGTGACGTGGTCCTTTTAAGGAGGCTTCTGGGGTCAGCGGTCTGTGTGGGGATCCTGGTCACCCTTCTGGCCTGTTCTGGCCGTCAGAGGAAGAGTCTAGGGGCCAACCTCTGCAAACATGGTGTGATTTTGTTTCCCCTATAGGGATACGTTCAAGGAAATTTTTGTATATTTTATGTGTATATATTTTTGTACGTTTCCTAGAGCCAATATTTCCCCTAAATGACATGAGTTTTTAAATGCATTCTGACTTTCCTCCTGCCCCACGCGCATTTCTGCCCCACGGGAGCTGAGGCCCGGGTGGGCTCAGCGCCGCGCCCCTCTCTGCCCCGCAGCGACTACAGCGGCGAGATCCTGAACAACTGCTGCGTGATGGAGTACCACCAGGCCACCGGCACGCTCAGCGCCCACTTCCGGAACATGGTGAGGGCGGCGGCGGCGGCGGGCGAGGGGGCGCGGCACGTCCCCCCCCCCCCCACCCACCCCGTCGTCTGAGGTCTCTGTCCCATTCATGGTCTCCTTTTCAGTCCCTGAAGCGGATCAAGAGGTCCGACCGTCGCGGAGCAGAGTCCGTGACGGAAGAAAAATTCACGATCCTGTTTGAATCGCAGTTCAGCGTCGGCGGAAACGAGCTGGTGTTTCAAGTCAAGGTGAAGCTCTCGGCAGTGGGCGTGCGCGGGCGGGTGTGCGCGTGGGAGGACTTGGACCTCCCGGGAGGATCGTTCTGGTCACAACGGGTGTCCTCTCTCTGGTTAGTGACGAACAGAAAGCGAGGAAGCCTCCTCCTTAGAACGGTGTCTCCTAGCTTCCCCTGAGAAGGAGCAAACAGTAGTGAGCTGAAATGGCTGGAAATGGGTAGAAAGTGAACGAGGAGCAACATCACTCAGGAGGAGTCTGGGAAACGGTCGTCATAACTTACGACGTTTGTTACGTGTTGGTTTTTCTCCCTCCTGGAAATGACTCCTGCTCTCTCTCCTCTCCCTGGTGCTCCGTGTGGCTTAGAGACCTTACCCCGTCCTTCAGAGACATTTGGTAGAGTCTCTTACTACAGGCAGAATGTCTGAGGCCGCGCCGGTGTGGCAGAGGCGCAGTGACCCTGGAGCGTTCTCACCCTGGGTCCGAGGCGACCTGCACAGAAGCCGGGAGAGCGCACGTGTGGCGATGGGAGAAGCGAAGAGCAGGGGCAGGACGCGCCGCCCGCGGGGGCTCAGCCCGTGTCCCGTGTCTTTGCAGACCCTGTCCCTCCCGGTGGTGGTGATCGTGCACGGCAGCCAGGACAACAACGCCACGGCCACCGTTCTGTGGGACAATGCTTTTGCAGAGCCTGTGAGTGGGTTCCTCGGGCCTGTGGGGCTTGAGATCTTGATGCTGGTGTCATGGGTCCCTCTCATGTGTCATCCCCAAAAAGAGCAGAGGAGAACGCCGTGTCTCCTGGTGGGAGGCGGCGTAGGGCGTGTGCAGAAAATGAGGAGGGGGCGGGCTTGCAGGCGGGCCAGCGCTCCGGCTCCGGCTCCGGCTCCAGCCTCTCCTCCTCTGTGGCTTCGGGACGTTCACTCCACCTCCCTGAGCTCCAGGGTCCCCCTAAGCGTCTGCAGCGCGGGGGTGACCGTGCTCCATGGTTGTCAGGAAGAGTAAATTAGATAACAGACAAAATACCAGGCACACACTCAGTACTCAGTACTCAGTACTGAGTACTCAGGAAGTATTGTTTTGAAACCTTGGGTGAAACCGTACATGGAAATCGGGACTCTCGGGGTCCTCGGCAGGGGTCCCAGCCTCTCTCCCCTCCCACACCCCACCCATGGGAAAATCGTCTTCCACAAAACCCATCTCTGGTGCCAAAAATGTTGGGGACCGCTGTTCTAGGGGCCAGACCTCTCAGGAGGTGACTTCAGCATGGAACTTGCTTCCTGTCGTTTTCCTTCCAATAAACGAGGGCGACATTTAAGGTCTGTTCCAAAGTTTAGACTCTGCGACCCGTCCCAGGTCTCTCATGAAGAGTGGGATGCTTTGTCTAAGGGCGAACATTTGGGTTTCTGGGTCTGTGCACGCAGGTGCTGTCTGCGCAGCACGGGGGGCTGCTCGCGGAGCGTGTTCGGAATGCCGCAGCGGCACCGTCACGCGCAGTGCATATGCCTGCAGCCAGCGGTCCGGGAAGGCCTGACGGAGGAGGGGTCGTGCTTGTTGTTTGGGGCACAGAAGTATGTTCTCTAACACGAACGGTCTTACGTTCTCAACGGTTCTCTTTAGAGAATGTTTCTGCTGCAGAGGCACGATTTTTATCGGAAATTCTACTACGCTGGGGCGACAAACCTTTTGTTTGAGGCTCCTTTTAAAAACCACCTGCCTACAGCCTGTCCTGATAAGCCTCCCGGACGGGATGGCCACACCCCCACTTCCTCCGCTGCCTGTCCACAGAGCGCGCTCTGCTCCGGTGGCCCCGGCGTCTCCTGCAGCGTGCCGTTGCTAAAGTGTCTGGTCTAAATCAGTATCGTTTGTTTTTTAAAGATTTTATTTATTTATTTTTAGAGAGGGAAGGGAAGGAGAGAGAGAGAGAAACATCAATGTGCGGTTGCTGGGGGCTGTAGCCTGCAACCCAGGCATGTGCCCTGACTGGGAATCAAACCTGCGATGCTTTAGTTCCCAGCCTGCGCTCAATCCACAGAGCTATGCCAGCCAGGGCTTAGTATCAGCGTTTTTAACATTTCCAGTATGTCAATAACTAGTGTACATCTTGTGCTGTTTTGAAATGAATACACACTTGTAGGAATTTGTAGGTATATTTGTATACATGTCATGGTGTAACTGCAGTGCTGCACTGCTTAGCTGGAGACTGAAGTCTGACACACAGGTGTCCGTCTGTGGGGGTCAGGTCAAATGTAAAGGGGAAAATCGTATACGCTTGCCGGCCTGCACGGAATACTTATGGAGGTATAAGCCAGAAGCTGGATCACACACCTTTCGCGAGAGGAGCTGGGTTGCTAAGGCACAGGAGGAATAGGAAAGTCACCTCACTGGATAACCTGTGTTTTTCTTTTTAAAACTTTTTAAAAGATTTTATTTGCCAATTTTTAGAGAAAGGGGAAGGGAGGGAGAAAGAGAGGGAGAGAAACATTGATGTGAGAAACATTCTTCTGTTGCCTCCTGCACGCACCCCGACCGGGTCTGAACCCCCAACCCAGGCAGGTGCCCCGGCCGGGGATGGAGCCGGCCGCCTCCCACCTCGAGGAACGACGCCCACCCAACCAAGCCACACTGGTCAGGGCAGACCCTCCGTACTTTCCGATTTCTGTATCATGTGCAGGATTTCCCATTCAAAAGTGTTTTTGTTTTTGTTTTTTTCAAAAATAGTTTTATAATAAAATTAAATATGACAGCCAAATGGGATGAAAAGCAGTTTACTAAAAATGCATAGTCTGACCTGTTTTTAATAAACCCGTGGAACTCACAGTGACCCTTCTTCCTTAAGCTGTTTCCCTTTGGGCTGGAGTTCTCTGTCGGCAGAAGGTGTCACAGGCGAGGGTTACACTCGTACATGCACACACATTCCCTCTCCCTGTACCCGGAGAACCAGGGTCTCGGACCACTGCCCCCACTGAGTCCGCAGTGTAAGGGGCAGAGCTCGGTCACGTTCTGGTTTTTTGTGGCTGTGAGAACGTAGGCTCGGAGTGGACGCTGGTCAGCTCGTTACAGAGCCCGGTAGACAGCACGAAGCCACACTGCGCGTTGAGTGCAAAGAAGGTAAAATGAACCTCCCGCGTTTCCCGGAACAGCACGTCCCAGGAAGGCTCGAATTTTATCCCCGGGCTCAGTTAGGACAAACGTTTGTAACTACATCCAGCCATCAGTGTTTGTTTTTTTTTCGGGTCAAGGGAGTAAATCACACAACCGTCTTCTCACACGGCTCTGGCTTCTGTCCCTCTCAGGGCAGGGTGCCGTTTGCCGTGCCTGACAAGGTGCTGTGGCCGCAGCTGTGCGAGGCGCTCAACATGAAGTTCAAGGCCGAAGTGCAGAGCAACCGGGGCCTCACCAAGGAGAACCTCGTGTTCCTGGCGCAGAAGCTGTTCAACAGCAGCGGCAGCCACCTGGAGGACTACAGCGGCATGTCCGTGTCCTGGTCCCAGTTCAACCGGGTGAGCGGTGGCCGTGGGGCCAGCACGACGCTCTTGGGAGCCGCCCCTCCCCAGCCCCCATGCTTTCCATCTCCAGTGAAATATGCACCCAGCGTAACGGGAAGCTACTCAGTAGATAGATGACCACGTGTTTTTATGCAAAAAGCTACCTCTTTGAATACTTCGGTCAATCAGGCTTCATGTGCAGCGAGTGCCTTTTGTAAAGGAAACAGCAGGCAAAGCGAACGTTCACGGAACTCACGAGAGGTGGAGCTTTGGTGATGACCGGAGCGTCGGGCGCTGTCCCCGGCCTCGGTGCTCCCCGGCGCGCCACGTGAAGCCGCCCCCCGGGGGCCCCTCGGCCCACCTGAGGGAGTGCCAACTCAGGAAAGTTTTCCTCCAGCATCTGCTAGCTCGGAGGGCACCTGTCACATCTTTGATTTTAAATTTAACTTTCGTTTCTCTTCTTATACCACCACCCCGACCAGTGTTTTTTTTAAAGGTTTACTTATTTATTTTTAAAGAGGGAAGGGAGGGAGAAAGAGAGAGAGAGAGAAATATCAGTGTGTGGTTGCTGGGGGCCGTGGCCTGCAACCCAGGCATGTGCCCTGACTGGGAATCGAACCTGCGACACTGTGGTTTGCAGCCTGCGCTCAATCCACTGAGCTACGCCAGCCAGGGCTCCGACCAGTGTTTTTAAAGCCCTAATTCAGAGATCTCACTGTCTCTGAGTATAACCCTTTTGAGTGGTTGTGTGTCGACCAGTTGGCCGACGTCCTTGCTGGCAGTGAGGGGCACTTCAATAAGGGGTGCAGAAATTCCACGAGAATCAGATAACTGCGTTTTTCTGATGGTTATTGGTAACTGCCGTGTGACAGAGCAATCTCTGGGGCCGGCCCCGGGCGATTTAATCCAGTTCCCATTGACGGCCCCCTGGGCATCTTCTGAAGATGCAGGCTCGGATTAAGTAGATCTGAGATGAGGCCTGAAAACCTGCATTTCTCAGAAGCCCTGGGTGATGCTGCCGCCACTGGTCACAGACCGCACGTGCGAGACAGCGGAGGCCCCGTCAGGGGGGGAGGGTGCGCGGGGTTGGCGACGGCTCTGGGCTGCGTTCCTCCACTCGCTGCTTCTCCGGTCTGTTTTCTGGTGGCAGGACCATTCGCATGGGGAAACGCAGACAGGTCTTGATACTTGCGTGGTTCTGGCAGAGTGGGTGTTGGTTTGCTGTTTGGTTTTCTCTGGTTCTGGTGTGTGCAGGCACTATCCCGAGTGTTGCTCTGGCCTTAATCGTGTTCCTTGTTGTGCCTCCGACCAGGAGAATTTACCGGGACGGAATTACACTTTCTGGCAGTGGTTCGACGGGGTGATGGAAGTGTTGAAAAAACATCTCAAGCCTCATTGGAATGATGGGTAAGAACTGGCATTTCTTAAGTCAGTGATAGCGTAAGAAGGTCGTCTTTCTGGTGTTTAAAAAAAAAATCACATTCTGCTTCTGCCCCTCTGACCTCTGTGGCCCAGGGCGATCTTGGGCTTCGTGAATAAGCAGCAGGCCCACGACCTGCTCATCAACAAGCCCGACGGGACCTTCCTGCTGCGGTTCAGCGACTCGGAGATCGGCGGCATCACCATCGCCTGGAAGTTCGACTCCCGTGAGTGCCCCTCCCTTTTCACGAGCAAAGGCAAGGTGGCTCCGGGCAGCTGCTTTGGTTGCAAAAGCACTTGAACCTACAATTCGCTGAGTACTTACTATCCCAGGGGCCCGCGCTCCTCACGGAACACGGACGAATGACCCTGACAGAGCCGCCGCCGATGCCGTGGGGGCCGGTGTGAGACCTCCCTGTGGGGAACACAAGTCCCGATTTTGAGAAACACAAATGACTAACGCTGACGCAGCGGCCTGCGGTGCAGTGTCCCGCCCCGAATCTCAGCTGCTGCCCCGTTGAAATGCTCGCCTTCATGTTGCTCAGCCTCGAGCTTAGCCCAGTGAGGAAGAAACTGGAATCGTTAGCCTAGGAATAACATGCTGTTGTAATTAATCATTTATACTAACACAGGGCGACATGCTGTCGTCCTTGGTGGCTTTCATGCAAGAACGTTAGTTCTTTCCTCTGACCCTCGCAGTAACATGAGTAGCTTTCGAGTCTCGTCGTGTTTGTTGTTGTGACTTCCAGGGTTAGTGCCACTTCGTAGTGCCCGCCAGTCCTCTGGCTGTGGCCGTGCTTTCTCTCCCACATACTGTTGTGCAGGGAATCGGGGAGGCAATGAGAAGTGTCCTCCAGAAAAAGACAGAACACCATTTGAACTTGAACCTACCTAAGGGAGATCGCTGGGTCTCCAGGGAAGCGGCATGTGCATTACCAGCTCCCCACCCGCTGCCGCTTTTAAAAACAACTACTGATCTCTAACCTGTGGTTGTTTTGAAGCGGAGATTTTTATTGGTGCAATTTGAATGAAGATGTTTAATTTGTAGTATATTTGGGTGCTAAGATTTCCTGTTCAGAAATCATGTTTAGAATATAACTGTTGTATTTATTGCTCTAGAGGAAAGAATGTTTTGGAACCTGATGCCTTTTACCACTAGAGACTTCTCCATCCGCTCCCTGGCCGACCGCCTGGGGGACCTGAATTACCTCATCTACGTGTTCCCCGACCGGCCAAAAGACGAAGTGTACTCCAAGTACTACACGCCGGTCCCGTGCGAGCCTGCCACTGGTAACAGTGTTCGCGTTCTGCTGTGGTCGTGTTGTGTTCTGGCTCTGTTTTAGTTTTCTGTGTGTGTGTGTCTGTCTGTGTTGCATGAAAATCTACACAGTTGGCACACAGTTGTCGCTGTCTGAGCATCATCCAGGGCAGATGCAAATCCCAGGCTGTATCCTTCCGCCACACAGACAACACGCCTGCCACTAACCCCAGGTACCAAACTGAAGGGAACTGATTGCTTTTAACACAAGCTTAGGTCATACAAAGTTAGGAAGGTAAAATTTTGTCTTTCAAAACAGAGATGCTTTTGTTTTCTGAGTGTTAAAAGTATTATGAACTTATTGTCAAGTTTCCAGAGAAGTATAGAAAACTGTGCGTCACGCAGCACCTCTCAAGGGGAGATTAACCACGGTAATGATTCAGTGGGCGTTTCCCCAGTCTGTGTAGATGCATATTCTGCATTCAGCCAGCCAGCCAGCAGATGCTTAGGAAGCACTTCCCGCGTGGAGGGGGAAACCTGCCGGCGGGAGGAAGATGATAAGGAAGTGAGGCAATAAGTACACGTGCGTACTGACGGGTCCCGTGAGGACACAGAAGCGCGGTTCGAGGAACGGAGAGGCCACGGGGGTGGGGGGAGCTGGGGGCACCCCTCTGCCGCGCTGCCATGGCCTCCACCTCATTCCCCTGCCCACCCGGCTCTGGCCGCCCGGACCCCGCTCGGGGCTCCCGAACGCACCAACCACGTTTCTGTCTCGGCTTCGAGGGTGGTCCGGGAGGTGTCCCCGAGGGGCGGCATCGGCATAGATCTGAACGAAGTGAGGAAGCTCTGTCTAAAGGTCCGGAGAGAGAATGTTCTAGGCTAGGCTGAGAGCACAAGGGCAGGAGCTCTGAGGTGGAAATGAGGTCGCCAGGTTTGAAAACCCTCAAGAAGGTCGGAGGCCGGAGCGGGCTGAGCAGCGGGAGTGGGAGACCCAGGGCGGAGCGGAGGAGGGAGGGGCCGCAGCGTGTGGGCTCCCGCCACACGTCAGCTGCTGGGATCCGACTTCTTTCCCCGCGAGCATGTACTGTTAGTTAGGCCATGAGTCAGGGTCCTAGGGTGGGAGGTGCCCAGGCCCCCCCTTCAGCTCCCTGGGAGAAGGATGGAGGGCAGAGGACAGTACAGTGCAGCCTGTCCAGACCTTCCCAGGAAACCTGCCTTCTGCCCGGCGGTCATCCCAGGCTGATGCGCAGGCGGAGGGGCGAGGGGACTTGTGCACACGCGGGTGCCCTTTGCACGTGGAGACACCGCCCCCTTCAGCAGCCCCGGCCTCCCACAGTGGGGGGTCCGGGCCGTCAGCCGGCACTCAACAGTTCCCTGTCTGGTTCGGGCTATGGGGGCGGTGGTCGAAAGGGGCGGTCTGGCAGCTCTCAGTTTTGGCCGCAGTGTCTTCTGCCCCGTTGCTGACCCCCCGAGACGCCTCTGCAGCAGCTCGCAGCCCAGTGTGACCCTCCGCTAGCACCCTATTTTTATATTTTATATTTTTACTTAAAAGTATATCATAGAGCTACAGGTCAGGACACACAGTCTTCAGCAGCGTTTGAACGGCTGCACAGAATTCCGCTGTAGGGTGATTCCGCGGGACGTGGTCCCAGCGCTTTACTTGAAGCACTCACAGGTTAGGTCACAGCTTCTCTTGTCATGATTCACACGGAGATGACCCGGTCCTCGCCTTGCGTTCAGTTTCCCGAGGACAAATGCCTGAGGCACAATCTGTGTCAGAGGGCGCACGCTTTTCGAAGCACGTAGGCACGTCCTGGCGGAGCTCCGCTCCAGAAAGCGGCGTCCGCTCTGGCCCGCGGGCGTCCGCGGAGTCCGCTCCTCCCCCCCCACCCTCACCGCCACAGACGGTACGCCCGTCTCAGGCTTGGCCGTCCGATCGGCGCAAAGTGACATCTCAGTCCCCATTCCCGTTTCTTTGATTCTAGGTGAGGCCAAAACACCCTTTCATCTGATGATGATAACAATAATAATAATAATAATAGGATAATAGTAGCAGCTGACATTCTGTTGAACGCTTACTTACGTGGCAACTCCTTTCCTGAGTGTATTTTTATTTAGTGTCTCATTTGCTCCTCGAAACGGGTCCGTGGTGAAGTAGGTACTATTCAATGTACCCCCTTTTACATAGGAGGAACTGAGGCACAGAGAGGTAAATCATTTGCCCAAGGTCACACAGCTAGGAAGAGGCCAAGCCGGGCTTCGAGCTCAGGGGGTCTAGCACCAGACGCGTATTTTTTTAGCCTCTGCACTGTGGGCCATCTGTGTGTTTTCCCATGAAGTGCGTTCGTGTTCCTCGTATCTTTCTTTCGCAGTTTCGTTTTTTTCTTAACGACGTGTAAATAGGTTTTATAGTAAATAAACCCTTTATTATATATAGCAAATGTTTTTCTCAGTGTGTCATTGTTCTTTTACTGTGCAAGGTTTACTTTGCTGAAGGTTTAGTTTACGGGGCCCAGTAGCGGGGCTGCAGGGCCCGGTCTGCCCCCCCGCCCCGTTCCCTGGGTGCCGGGCCCCCCCCCGCCCCAGCGGGGCCGGTCTCTTTCCAGGTGGGGGGATGAGCCGCAATGTTCTAGATCTATAGGCTGTTTTGGATTATATCTGTCGCTGCTTTTTGTTAGCGCAGCTCATCTAGATTTTCAAGTCCTATTTTTTTTACAGCATTTCTTTGGTTTTTATCTTTCCTGCCAACCTGTAAAATTCTCCATAGACCGTAAAGCCCAAAAAGCATGCGATGTTACAAGGCAGCCGCTGACGTTTTCGAGCAGCAGGTTAGGGTGCCAAGCAGTGCGCCAGCCACCGTCTCGGGCTGCCCCGCCCTGCCGGCCGCCACGGGGTCTTCCCAAGTCCACCAGAGTTGGGGCTGAACCTACCCCCGTGCCCCGCCCCCAGTCCCGGAAAACAAGGCTGCACTCACACGACCACATCCCCGCCACCTCCTGAACTGGGTTTCCACGGTCAGCCTTTTACAACGCTGCACCCGTGGCTGACCAGGTCACCACCGGGTTCCTCCCCTGGCCAGCCCCGCCCCGGCGGGGTGCTGTGGTGCTTGGAGACCCACGCCAGCGCTTCAGCCAGCCACGAGGCGTGGGCTGGGGCCCACTGGAGTCAGGCGACCCCAGACGCAGAGGCCGCAGGGGCCCCAGAGAGCTTGCGGGCACCTGCGTGACAGTCCCTCTCGTAAGCGTAGATCCTCAGAGCAACTTCTGGGGTCAGCAGGTCCGATTCATTCCTCTCTGATGCTTAGATATTTCTAGGCGACCCCTGAGAAGTGTGTGCACACCTTCCGCTTGAAAACCTCCAGCGAAAAGGAACCAGTTCTTCCCGAGACAGCCCCTTTCTTTGGGGGATGTTTTTTAAGATTTTTAAATTTATTTTTAGAGAGGAAAGAGAGAGAGAGAGAGAAACATCAATGTGCGGTTGCTGGGGGTCATGGCCTGCAACCCAGGCATGTACCCTGACTGGGAATCGAACCTGTGACACTTTGGTTCACAGCCCGCACTCAATCCACTGAGCTACGCCAGCCACGTGGGGGGGTGTTCTGATCGTGGCTGCCTCGGCCCTCCCGTCTGTGACTGGGGATCCTCGCCCCTCCTGCCATTCCTCATCGTGTCCCCACAGAGCAAGTCCCGCCCTCCTGCATCTGTGGCTGAGCTTTTTAAAGACCGTTTTTCTTTTTACAATCAGCATGCAGCTAATGCTCGGTTTCGATTTGAGTTGAAGTACATATTTTCCACAGTTTGAAGAATTTGCGAGCGCATCCAAGCCAGCGGGAGTTACCGCTTCCCCTGCGGTGTTAGTGTTGAGACTGTTCTCTGCCAGGTCGCCCTGACAGGCTGCAGTGGGAAGAGCTCGTTCTAGATCCCAAGATAAAATGAGGCGGCGGTACCCTATCCTAAGGAAAGATGTGATTCATGCGTGAGATTTCGTTTTTATTCCATCTGTGAACTCTGGTTCTCATCCCCATTCCCCCCTCGGCAGCTAAAGCAGTGGACGGATACGTGAAGCCACAGATCAAGCAAGTGGTCCCTGAGTAAGTGTCCGGGGTCCGGCCCGGTCTCCTGCCGCCTCTCTCCTCCGCTGGCTGTCCTCACCCCTCACCACCCCCCCTCCTCCCAGTCAAGGGCCCAGCGCTCCCTTCCCCCTAAAACCTGGCTCTGCCCTGCGGAGGGACTGGGCTTGGTCGCCACGAGGCCAGTCCCCAGGGCCCCACTCCTGCAGCTGGAACCCCTGTGGGCGCTTGGTCCTCCCACACCCGAGAAAGACACTCAGGTGCCCCCGGGGCCCCTCCCCAGACCAGCTGCCGCCCCGAGGCCACTGAGGCTCTGCTCTGCCTCCTCCCGCAGGTTTGTGACGTCCGCAGACTCTGCCGGGGGCAGCGCCACCTACATGGACCAGGCCCCCTCCCCCGCTGTGTGTCCCCAGGCGCATTACAACATGTACAACCCACAGAAGTAGGTCGTGTTCTTACGGGGCTTGCCGGGGGGGGGGGGGCGCGGGGGGGGGGACTGGGCAGTAGGCCTGAGGCTGGACCCCAGGGGGGCTGGCGGGCCAGGGAACGCAGAGCTCCTCTGGGTCTGAGACCCCCCAGCCCAGGCCAGGCTCTGCCGTGTGCCCAAGTGGGAGGGAGAGATTTGATCAGAAAACGTTTGTTAGTTTGGTGGTGGGTGGGGGGGGCAGTTTAGGTTCAGTGTTATTTTGTATTAGTTCCAGGTGTGCACAGTGGTTAGCGGAGGCTGGGTATTTTAGTCTGAGTCTCTCTGTCCGGCTAGTGAAGGACCCGACTACCAAGTGTCGAGACCGGAAGTGGTTCTTTTCCCGTGAGGCCTAGGCCGCGTGTACAGGCAGCCTTGGGCTGCTCACCTGGCGGGGCGTGGGGCTAGGGCCGGTCTCGCTCCTCGTCGTTGGCCTCTGGCAGCCGTTCCCTTCTCCTTCAGCTCCCTTTTTTTCTTTTTTTTAAGATTTTATTTATTTTTAAGGAGAGGGGAAAGCAGGGAGAAAGAGAGGGAGAGAAGCATCAGTGTGTGGCTGCCTCTTCTGTGCCCCCTACTGGGGACCTGGCCCTCAACCCAGGCATGTGCCCTGACTGGGAATCGAACCAGCAACCCTTTGGTTCTCAGGCCAGTGCTCAACCCTCGGAGCCACACCAGCCAGGGCCCTTCATCTCTTTTCTTTCTCTCCCAAGCCCGGACCCTGTCCTTGACACGGATGGAGACTTCGATCTGGACGACACAATGGACGTGGCACGCCGCGTGGAGGAACTCCTAGGGCGACCCATGGACACTCAGTGGATCCCTCACGCACAGTCGTGACCTCACAGCTCTGCCTTCAGCGTCTGCGTCCTTGCCAGAGGAGTCACTCCTGTGGATGTTTTAATTCCATGAATGGCTTCTCTTTGGAAACAATACTCATAATGTGAAGTGTTAATACTAGTCGTGACTTTAGCGTTTCTGTGCATGGTGACACCAGTGAAGGGAGTGTTTGTGTTTGTGTGTGTGTGTGTGTGTGTGCGTGTGTGTGCGCGTTTGTACATTGTGGTGTCCCTCCCCCTTGCTGTCCCGGGTTCAGCTGCGGCACTGGGGCCACAGACGAAGGCTGTGGTGGTTTTAACCTTGTACGAAAGGGCAGCCGGTCCCGTGGACCCTGGGACTCGGCCACGTGTCTCGAGGGCGGCTGAACGTTGACATGTGGCTGTTCAAGTAAGGGAAGGACAAAGGGAGGAGGAAGCACCTCCTCTGTAGCGAGTCTTCGTCACTGTGTCTGCCAAGCAATTGTTATATAACCACGATGGTCTCTGCTCTTCTGCTGAAATGTAGAAACTGCCTTTTGAGGAGGAAAGTCCGTCCTCCCTCCCCTCTCCCCCCACCCCGCTTTCCTGGGCAGGGGCGGGAAAGGGGGCCGCACGGGAGGACTGTCGTCGGGGCAAGGAGAGTCAGGGGTCTTCGGATGGGTGGTGGCTTTTTCAGTAACACTTAACCCGTCTTAATGTTCTCTCCGCCCCTCCTCCCCTCCCTTGCTGTCCCCCCCCCCCCGCCCTCCTCTCGCTCAGTCCCTCTGTGTGCGCACGTGTGCAGGCACGTCTGGTGAACCGGAGGGAAGAAGAGAGGGTCACGTACCCGGAGCTCACGGTGCTGCAGTCCTTGGTGTTGCGGCCGGAGTGGAATGCCCAGCCCTGGCTTGCAGGCACTGAGAATGTCCCCCTGTCGCCCGGGGAAGCTGCCGTCCAGTCTTGCCTGGCCTTCCTCCGCGCGGAGGAAGGCTGACTGATAACAGCTTCTTGCAAATGTCGAATGGCGTTTCTGTTTCTAAATCAAGACTTCTTGTGTTGTCCTTCCCACCCTAATTGGACATCAAAATTCTTCCTTCCCGTGTCCGGTCCTGTGCCACGCATACCCAGATCACCTTATGTCCTTTCACTGCTCACCCACGCGGTCTCCGGGCATGGGCGGCGGGAGTCTGGTGTGAACCCAGGGCCGGCGTGGCCAGCAGGCGTCGTGGCCCGCCCGGCGCAGGGTGCTGGGTGGCAGGCACCGGTGATTCGGGGCAGGGGGTGCAGCCGGCAGGTGTGCTAGACGTGCGGTGAGCTGCAGACAGGCGGCTGAAAGCCTCAGCACAACCGCGTCCGCAGTTTCTTCTGTAGCTTCACCCCGGAAGGACGGAGCGGGCTGCGGCAGGCAGGTGGGAAGAGAAGGGAGCAGGTGTATCTTTTGGGTTAGGCCCTCCAAGGTCACGCCTCGCCCCCTCTCCAAAAGGAGGACATGACCACACCCAGGAGAGAATGGCCCTAAAAACCTTATTTTTATACATGTGAGTAAATAAACATATTTTTTTTACAAAAGTAACTTCTGAACTTATCAGTGTTTTGATGTTAAAGGAGAATATTCCTCTGTAGTAAATTATTTATTGGAAGATAACTTTTTAAAAGCTGCTGTTTGCCCTGGCCTGGTTTCATACACTGATTTATTTTTCTATGCCGGGCAGTAGACTCCCTCTGCCTCGGAGGAGCCGGCTGAGCCTTCCGCGGACACCAGCATTGATGTGGGATGCTGCTGAGCCCCTTAGGTACCGCGCCCCTCAACGTTAGATCAAAGCGCCACCTGCGAGGATAGGTGCGCGGGGGGCGGCAGAAAGGAGGCCTAGCTGTGCTCGGACCCGGGCCGGAGGAGCCCTCGCCTGCCCGTCACTCAGGCTGCCCAACACCTGTCTCTGAGCGCTGCCCGGTTGGCCCGGCGGGGGCAGGCGGGGGCACAGGGACCGAGCGCTTTCAGATCTGCGGTGGTCCCGGCCTTAGCGCATGCCGCGCGCGGGGCTCTGCCTGGACAGCGGGCCGTGGGGCGCCAGGGACAGGTGCCGCGTGTGGGGTTCCCGTGCTTGCGTAGTTGCCGATTCGTCCTCAGCTTTCCTGAGGCTGCGCCCATCTGCGGGAGAGGTCTCCGACCCAAAGGTGTGCTCGCTATCTGCGTTCTACTTTCCCTCTGCTCCCCTTGCGCGCGAACCAGGGGAGGTCCTGGGAAGCCGTGGCCGCCCCGCCTCTCCCCCGCCCCGGGCACGCGCACGTCATCCGCGTGGCCGGCTCCTCGTGTGCTCTGTGCAGGGTTTTGTGGGGGGCCGGGGCGGGGGGGGGGGGGACAAAGTTAATATAACGTAAAGTGGAAGTATACTTTTTATAATTTTCCTTCTTAAAACTTTGTGAAATCATTTCAGATGCATATTTTAGTGCTGAGGCAGATTGGTCTATGGCTACCAGAAAAGTATTGTGTACAGCTTTACTTGCGGAAATCACCAAATAGTGTATTTTATGTTACAATAAAGGTTTCCTCTGAAGGGACAACCCGGAGAGTCCTGTTTTATTTTTTATTTTTTTCCAGCAGGTGGCCAGGGGGTGGCTGGTTCGGAGATGTTGGAAGTCACCCGTGCGAGTCTGAAAGGGGGCTGGTTGGGGGTCGGCTCCTCCAAGCACCGGGCACCAGCTCTGACGGCAGACGGCGGCGCTCTTACCTCCCTGCTCAGCTGATGCTCTGAAAAGTAGAATGATAGTCTTCCCCTCCCGGCCGCCCAACTGCACGCTCTCCCTGTTAGGAAGCTCACCTTTAAAGCTCAGGGCGTTCAGAGCGCCTGCCCTGAGCGCGGCCTGTGGGACGAGGGACGCGGGTCCCGCCCGAGAGAGCGTCACCGTCAGGAAGGGGCAGCTGACACCGCCAGGTGCGAGGAGACACGGGCTCACGCTGCTGTGAATAAAGGTGTCCCAAGGCCGCTGTCAGGCACAAGGCCACTGTCAGGTACAAAAGGACGCAGAGGAAGGGCACTGAGCAGCTCGGGCTGGCTCTTAAGGAACAAATGGGAGGTGAGGAAGCAGAGGGCATTCATTCACCTTCTGCAGTAGGCATGTCACCCAAAGGTGCACCGCCGTCTCCTGCCCTAAAACCCGGGACAGAGCCGTGGCCTGAGTGTTGGCCCCAGAGGGGAGTGAAAGGCTCCAGAACAGAGGGCTTTGGCTGTCTCCCCAAAGGAACTGACTGCGTTTGCAAGGGAAGTGCGGGCATGAGGGTGGTCTCCGAGACGAAGGTTGCAGTGAGAGACAGTCGGCAGGGGAGTGACGGCCTCGTTGGGGGTACAGCCAGAGCTGCGATCGTTTGCTAGAGACAGACCGGGAAGGAGACAGCCAGGAGGGGCGCTCTCAGGGTCAGAACAAACCTCAAGTGCTGACCTTGAATCTGTCCCTTCAAAGAAGCCTCAGTGTGATTGGATCAGTCTGTGGAGCACTTTATTTTCCAGGGCATTGTTGAAATATAAATGTAAATATGTATAATCAGCCAATAAGGAGTGTAGTTTAAGAGCTGGGTGCGGCCAGGGAGGAGACCTGTGGAAATCACTGTCACACTAGGGTGACGAGGCACGCTCCAGTCCGCAGCCCCCGAGGAACAGTAGCAGACCACACTGTGTGGGGGGTTGGTGCTGGGCGGTAGATACACTCAAGGGGTCCAGCCACTCACTCAACAATACCATGCCCTGGAACATTTACAAATATGTGGAAATAAAACAATATGTTCTTAGATAACCAATAGGTCATAGAAGAAAGCACAAGGGAAATTAGAAAATACTTTGAGATGAATGAAAATGAATACACAACATAAAACGTACGGGATGCCACGAAAGCAGTGCTTGGAGAGAAATTTATGGCTGAAAAGACATATTAAAAAGGAAGGGATGGGGGTGTAAGGGGACTAAATGGTAATGGGAAAAAATACAATGGAGATAAAAAATAAAAAGGAAAAATTTCAAATCAACCCAGCCTTGCACCTTAAGACACTGAAAAAATAAAAACACAAACTACATCTAGAGCAAGCCGAAGGGAAGAAATAATAGAGCAGAAATTAATGAAATAGGGAATAGAGGAACAATAGAGAAAATCAGGAAAACCAAAAACTAGTTAGTTCTTTGAAAAGATCAACAACATTGACGACCTTTCACCAAACTGACCGAGAAAGAGAACGAGAAACAAAAGTGGAGACGCTACCAGAGATCCTATAGGAGTGAGAGGATTGCTGTGAACAATGTGCACCTGTCCATCGGATATGGTAGATGAAATGGACACATTCCTAGAAAGATGAACTACTGAAACTGACTCAAGAAAAAAATACATCATCTGAATAGATTTACAACAAAGTGATTTTTTTTGTAGGTACTATTCAAAACTACCCACAAAGAAAAGCTCAGGCCCAGATGGCTTCACTGCTGAATTGCACCAAACATTGAAAGGATACCAATTTTTCTTTTGTTAAAAAAACAAACAGCCCTGGCTGGCATAGCTCAGTGGATTGAGCTCGGGCAAACCAAAGCATCGCAGGTTCGATTCCCAGTCAGGGCACATGCCTGGGTTGCAGGCCACGGCCCCCAGCAACCGCACATTGCTGTTTCTGTCTCTCTCTCTCTTTCTCCTTCCCTTCCCTCTCTAGAAATAAATAAATAAAATCTTTTAAAAAACCTTAAAAAACCCTGTTTTATTCTTCCACATCAGAGGTAGAGGACATACCTGTCCTTAAGAGTTTAGCATTTTCGCAGAGCAACTTGCACCCATGTCACCTGAAAGCAATGTTCTCACGCAGACAAGCAGGCCCATCACGCTGTGCGGGGACCTGAAACAGACGGCCCTGGGCAAGCGCGTACAGCTTGGCTACGAGCCTCCTGTATTCCCGAAAGCTATGCATTTCAAGCTCCCATCCTCTTTCAGAGGTGGAGACTCCTCCTCCGGCTGCTGTCTGAGACTGCTGCTCTCAGTAAGCTCTCCTAGTGAAGTCTCTGTTTGATTCTTTCTCAGCCTTCTGCTTTGGTCTCTCGGCCTCGTCCGCCTTCGAAGGTCCGTTTCAGTGCGCAAAGGACACCATCAAGATAACAGAACGATAACCCACAGAGGGGGAGGAAATATTTGCAAATCATAGGGGACTTGTTTGTAAAATATATAAAAAACTCCTACAACCTCCTGGCTGGCGTAGCTCAGTGGATTGAGCTTGGGCTGTGAACCAAAGCATCGCAGGTTCGATTCCCAGTCAGGGCACATGCCTGGGTTGCAGGCCACAGCCCCCAGCAACCGCACATTGATGTTTCTCTCTCTCTCTTTCTCCCTCCCTTCCCTCTCTAAAAATAAATAAATAAAATCTTTTTTAAAAAGTTTAAAAAAACAGAGTTGCTATACAACCCAGCTAGTCCACTCCTGGGTCTCTATACAAGAAAAATTAAAATACATGCCCACAGAAAAACGTGTACACAAATGTTCCTAATGGCGTTATACATAGTAGCCAAAGAGCAGAAATGAGCCCATCCGTTGATGAACAGGTAAACAAAGGTGGCAGGCGCATGCTTTACACGCGGTCTTGGGTGGTGTTGCCACCCATGGAAGATCGTTGGGGAACAAAAAGGACTGACCTGTCGACCGGTGGCACACGACCATGTGGAAGAACCTCAAAAACTTTGTGCCAAGTGGAGGAAGCCGGACCCAAAGACCATGTGTCACAGGATTTCATTTGTGTGAGGTGTCCCAATAGGCAAATCCATAGAGATGGAAAGTAGATTTCTGGCTGCTTGGGGCTGGGGTGGGGGATGATGGGCAGGGCCTGGGGGGTATAGCTGAAGGGTGTGAGGTCACTTTTGAGGCGATGGAAATGTTATAAGCCGATGTTCGGGATGGCACGTGGCTGGGAATGAGATCTGTCCGGAAAAGTATCCAGCCGTGCAGTGTGCAAAATAGAGACATTTACTGAAGAAGATGCAAGAAACATGGTACATGGGACAAGGACACCTCAGCCCCCTTCCAAGTGGGCACCTTGGGACCTCACACAGTTCTCCCAGTCGCCAGGAGCTGCCCTGGTATATTTTCCTGATTCTCATCAACGGTCTGAAATCTCTTCCCTTTCCAAGATGACTTTGGCCATCGTGTGTCCTGTGTGTTGAGAACACGTGTGTGCGATCAGCTTGGCTGTACATGGGAGTGAGACTCTTCTCTTGTCTTTGCCCTCTCCCAGCACACTGCCTAGGATGCACGTCGCATTCTGGCAGAATGTTCGTTCAATAATAAAAGTGTTTTCTTTCTCTGCCCCCTTGGGGGAGAGGGTTTCTGGATGGAGCGAAAATGTTGGTTCTTTAACAGTCCTCAAGCCCGAGTCCGCTCCAGGATGAGGTGTGCCGCTCCCTGGCGCTCTCTTCCACAGTCGGCTTCCTCTTCCTCCACCCACACAAGCGTGAGGACCACGCTACTCCAGCCCTAGCTTCCCACTTGGGCCGGCTCCGGCCAGCATCCAGCTCGGCTTCCTGCGGCAAGCTGCTCCTTTAAGAGCACCCCCCACCTCAGCTCCGCCCTCGGGCCCAGTGGCCGGATTTCCCTGTCTCGAGACCCGGCCCTTTAAAGCCACGGCTTCGTCTTTCTGGCCGGCCTGTGTATTGAGATCTAAGTGCTGAGGGGGGCCTGGATGCTGGGAGCAGGCATCAGGGGGCTGTGACAGGTGCACATGGGACATGAACCACTGCCCAGGGCTCAGGAGGGACACAGAGCAGGACAGGGTGGACCCTGGGACGAAGCAGAGCCACTAGGAAGTGGACAAGACCTCGTTCGATAAGCAGCCTCTTCGTGCCAGGCCCCGTGCCAAGCCCTTTCTGCATCTTCTTGGGCGGGGGGGGGGGGGGGGCGGTTATATTCCCGTTTGACAGACAGGGGGACAGAGGTCAGAGTAGCCACTCCAATCACACACAGATAGCAAGTGGCAGAGCCGGGATCCGAACTCAGGTCAGTGTGACGCTAAAGCCTGGTGTTCTCTCTGCCTCATCTGCCTGACAGGGGTCCTGGCTTATTCCCCCAACTTCCCGTGTCCTTGGTTTTCCTGCGCCGGCAGAATGGGGGGCGGCGGTAAGAAATGAGTTATCCCCTGCGCCCCTAATACCAGCGCCCTTGCCCCTTCCTCAGCCCAGGAGCTGCCTGGAGATGCTGCTGCTGTTCCCGCTGCTGCTGCTGCTGTTCCTGCTGCTGCTGCTGCTGCTGCTCCCGCTGCCACTGGCCAGGCTCCGGCAGCAGCGGTCCCCGGGGCCCGGGCTGTCCTGGCTTGCCTGCCTCCAGCACCGTGTGGCATGGGGCGCCCTGTGCTGGGCAGCCGCCTGGCAGCGGCGGAGACTGGAGCAGAGCACGCTGCGTGCGGGCCAGAGCCAGCAGCAGGCCCTGAGGTGGTGTCTGCAGGGAGCGCCTGGCCCCCGCCGCCCGCTCAGGGGGAGCACAGGTGTGTTTTCCAGGGTCTGGGCAGGTGGTCCAGAGAGAAAGAAACCACACGGGACACAGTCAGATTCCAGAACCTGAAGCCCCCTCGTCCCACCCTCTGCTGCCAGCACCGAGGGGCCTGCCCCACCAGAGACCCTCCCCAGGTTCAGGGTGGGTTTCCCCATCCTGGACCCTGCTGGCCCCTCCCCCCAGGCCTCTTCCACGTCATTCCAGTCCCTTCCTCAACAGCCTCACCCAACTCGCCTGAAACTCCTGGGAAAAACCCTGTGGCTGCCTGACCGGTGTACGGTGTCTTTGGGGCTACAGATATGAGCGCCTTCCGGACTCATCTCCCTCTGACCAAGGCCAGCCAAACCCAGGAGGAAGAAAGTGGGGAGCAGCTCCTGCCCCCTGCCTCAAAGCAGCACCGCGGGAAGGCCTCTCTGCAGGTAAACAGCCCTCCCCTCAGGGTGGGCAAAGACTCCCCAGATGGGGGACTCGGGGTCTGGCTCAGGTGTGGGGCCAACACCCTGTCCCGTCTCCCTCCAGGCCACCTTGCTGGGTCTGGCAGCCCTGAACAAGGCCCACCCAGAGGTGCTGGTCCCGGGAGGCACAGCCTGCCTGACTCCTACATCCCCCTGGCCCAGCCCCCTCCCCTGGCCTTGGCGGGTCCCCAGCCCGGGGAGCACCCCTGGAGCCAAGGACCCTGGGGCCCTGCTTCTGGAAGCACTGAGGTCCCCGGGGCTGCGGGCACTGGAAGCCGGGACGGCAGTCGAACTCCTGGACGTCTTCTCGGGCCTGGGAGCCAATGGCGAAGAGCTGGCCGAGGCGCTGGCTGCCGGGGGCCCGGGAGCGCCCCTCCCCTGGCGGGCAGCTGAGCTGCGGGAAGCCCTGGAGCAGGGACCCCGAGGCCTGGCCCTGCGGCTCTGGCCGCAGCTGCAGGTGGTGGTGACTCTGGACGCGGGAGGCCAGGCCGAGGCTGTGGCTGCCCTGCGGGCCTTGTGGTGCCGAGGACTCGCCTTCTTCTCGCCTGCGTATGCTGCCTCCGGAGGTCAGCAGGACTCGAGGGCGGTGAGCTGGGGGCTGGGGGCGGAGGGCACACAGCTAGTTGCCACATAGCGAGCCCTTCATTATTATCTCATTGAATCCTCCCCAACACCCTATAAATCCTCCCCAACACCAGCAGCTCCATTTCACAGAGGAAGAAACTGAGGCCCATAGAGGCTGCGCTAACGGGCAGAGCACCAGCCTTTACCCCCAGACGTGCCACATCCAGCAGCACTGCCTCTTCCCAGTCGGAGCCCTAGAGGCCGCATGCTGAGCCTGGGGGAGCCGGGAAGGGGCGGGCGGAAGGGCAGCAGTGGGACCAGGTGTTCAGAGGATTGAGGCGTGGGGTCTGGGGTCAGGGCCTGGCAGAAAGCCCCAGCACCGCCAGACGAAGAGGCCGCTTGCTCCCCGCAGGGGTGGTGGGCCTGAACCTATGGCCAGAGCAGCCTGGTGGGCTCTACCTCCTGCCCCCTGGCGCTCCCTTGATTGAGCTGCTCCCGGTCCGGGAAGGAGGCCAGGAAGAGGCTGCCACCACCGTCCTGCTGGCCGAGGCCCAGAAGGGCGAGGAGTATGAGCTGGTGCTGACTGACCACACCAGCCTTACCAGGTGACGACGGGCCTACCCCGCAGCCGCCTCGGGCCCTCCAGGACCCCGCTGAGGGCCAGGGGCGTGAGCTAATGGGTCCTTGGGCCCGACTCACACCCATTCCCACCCGGGCAGGTGCCGTCTGGGCGATGTGGTGCGGGTGGTTGGCGCCTACAATCAGTGCCCCGTCGTCAGGTTCATCCGCAGGTAGGTGGCTTCCCGGGCATCGGAGGGGCTGTCCTTGTGCCCTGGGCCCCTCTGCCTCCCCTTTCCTTCTCTCTAGGCTGAGCCAGACGCTGAGTGTGCGAGGAGAAGACATCAGTGAGGATATGTTCTCTGAGGCCCTGGGCCGGGCGGTGGGACAGTGGCCAGGGGCCACGCTCTTGGACCACAGCTGTGTGGAGAGCAGCATTCTGGGTAAGCTTCTCCATCAGCTCCTGCTCTGCGTTCCTGGGCTGGCTGGCTGCCTCTCGACCCACACCCAGCCTGCTGGGAGACCTCCAGGAGGAAGGGAAGACCCAGCCTCCTTTGCTGCTCCTAACAAAAGTCCTTCCCCAGGTCTAACTCCCACGCCTCCTGCTGCAGTCTCTCCCCGTTTCCTGTCCTGTCCTGTTTCATATTCAGGCCTGGGTTTCTCTCCATTTCCCCACCTCTGCTCCAAGAAACCCTTGTTTCCCAGGAACCTCAGAGTGGGGAAGCACGGCGGGGCGGGAGGGGGGCAGTGGGCGTGGCTTTGGAAGTGGCCTCACTCACAGGAGCGGGGTGTGTGGGTTTTGTCCGCAGATTCCTCCGGGGGCTCCGCTCCCCACTATGAGGTGTTTGTGGCCCTGAGGGGGCTGAGAAACCTGTCTGAGGAAAATCGAGACAAGGTAAATGACACGGGGACAGGATCGGTCCCTGGGACTGCGTGTCCCCTTCGCGCTGCATGGCCCCAGGTGCAGTGGACGCAGAGTGACCGGGAGGTGGGGCAAGGAGGGGAACTTCCCTGAGGCTCGGGGACGGGAGGGGTGAGTCCCACAGACACACACGTGTGCACATGCATCTCCTGCCCACACGTACGCTGGGCACAGCCGTGCGCGCCTCATCCACACTGCACACAGCCGCACGCCGGCCTCACTCTGCCCTTCCGTTCTCAGCTGGACCACTGCCTCCAGGAAGCCTATCCCCGCTACAAGTCCCTGCGGTTCCGGGGCAGCGTGGGCCCTGCCCGGGTCCAGCTGGTGGGGCCCGAGGCCTTCCGAGAGCTCCGGGCGGCCCTGGCGGCCTCTCCCTCGTCGCCCTTCCCGCCCGAGATGCCCCGGGTCCTCAGGCACAGGCGCCTGGCCCAGCTCCTGCAGAGGAGAGTGTTGTCCTGAGCCGAGGCCCGCCCACTGCCCCCCCCCCACCCCCAGAAGCTGCCTCTCTCTCTCCTCTGGGGCTTCCCTAGACGGGGAGCCCTTGGCCAGGGTCTCTGACTCTGTCACCTGTCAGTTGCTCGTCAGAGCTGCTGGGCCTTAGGGAGGTCTGACCTGGTCAGCCAGGTCTGGAGAGGTGACCTCGGGGTGTGCCAGACACCAGCAGCGCCCTGCCCGGAGACCCCGGAGCCCACCCTGGAGGAAGCTGCCGGAGAGTTCCCACACATGCCGGGCTGCAAGTGCTGGGAGTTAACGTTCCCAGGAGCGACCTTCAGTTGGCCAGGAGCAGGAGCTGTGAATGCCGACCCCAGCTTCACTGTCCTGCAGTGAGACGATTCTGAAGCGTGTTCTGCGCCAGCTGCCCACGGGTCACGGTTAACACAGTTCTTATGCTTTCCTCCCGTCCTTCCCATCCCCACTGCCTTACGTGTTTTCTGGGATCAGCTCCCAAATAAACCTCTTGCACCCAGATTCTTGACTCAGGGTCTAGTTTTGGAGAAATGGTAGTGGTCCCTTTGCCCCGCTCCTGTGGCAGCCTGTCACCTCCGATCCCCAGGCTTCCCCCCCCACCCCGCCCCCGCCTCTGCTGGGGCAGGCCCTGAGTGTGTGTGCCCCCAGGAGCCCTCGGGGGCCCCTGCCATGGCCTAGGTCAACCCAGACCCCCCTCCTCCTACCTCTCTCCATCCCAACCTTACCCTAAACGTGAGGGGCCTTGTTTGCCTGTCCAGCTGCCTCTCTCCTCTGGGGGAAGCCACCGCCATGAGGCCCACACCCCACTACCCCGTCTGGGTTAAGCACCGTCACCTCCAGGTCTTTGCTCCAGGTGTCCCTGCAGCAGAATGCCTTCTCTGCCAACCTTACCAGTAGACACCTTTTCACGGACGGGCTTTCCAGAGTCCTTCCTCCCACTGAGCTACCCCATGGGCCTGGTCACACCCCCGCCTGGGCTTTGGAGCTCCTTGGAAACCGGGCGTGCCCCGTGCACGCCGTGGCTCCAGAGCCCAGGGAGGCCTGACGCAGAGCCGACGCTCGGTGGACAGGGCCCTGGATGCCAGAGACCGCAGCATGGCAGCCCCCTCCTGCTGACGGTGGGACGGAACCCCACCCGTCCCCTCCAGCAAGAAAGCTGGCAGCCCCCAAGGATGACACCACCAGGTGCTTCTCTCCCCACGGCCCAGGGTCGGTCGTCAAGGTTTTCCATCTTGGAGGTTAGTGGAAGGAAGGGGCTGAGGGCAGAGAAGGCCGGCAGAGAAGGCTTTTTCCGTACAGAAAGGCGGCCCTGGAGCCGGGCAGACCCCAGGAGCAGAGACGAGGAGCGGAGGGAGGGAGGCCCGCTGCCTGGGTGCCCTCCCCACCCCACCCCCGGCACACGCTGGGGAGAATGGGTGTCACGCCTGCCTCCTCTCCTGACCCTCATTAGCAGCCGCCCCTCCCCACATTGTCCCTGGCCAGCGCCCCAGCCCAGGCCTCTTTTGTGCTCCCAGATTCCTGGGTGCAAGGTGGCCTCATTAGTGCCCGGAGACCGCCCCATCTCCAAGGAGCAGGCGGACAGGCAAGGGGGGCACCGGAGGCACAGCGATGCAACTCCAGCCTCTGGGTGCCTTGGCGGCCATTCCTCGGGCCTGGCCTGGAGACGGCCCCCCTGCGGGAGGCTAATCTTAGACTTGCCTTTGTCTGGCCCCAGCGTGGACGCGGGTGCCTGTCTCCCCCGCTCCGCCACCTCGGAGCACTATAAACCCCAGGTTCCTGGGGGCGGGTAACAGTCGACAGCCTCAAAGTTCCTAGCTACCCCGGACCACTGCAGACGACACCATTCCCTGCTACTCCACTCTGAGCTCCAGACACCATGAGCCCTCCCTCCACAAAGGTAAAGGCCCAGGGGTGGAGGGGACGCATCACCCCAGGGGGCAATGAGAGTGCTTGCTCAGGGGCTGGGAGAAAGGCTGGAGGTGTCTCCTGTCTTGGTCTTCTCCACTGTAGGCTCTGAGGTAGGGAGGGGACTGGGTGGACCCTTGGCGGAGCACCTGCCTTGGTTGACATTCAATTTGTGCCCTGTTCTGCGAAGAGCTCATGTTTATTGAGCACTTATTGAGCACGATTCAGCAGGTGCTGGGCTTGCACCTGTCATCTCTTTATCCTCCCAGCAGCTCTGCACAGCAGGCATTATTAATGCCCAATTCACAAGTGAGGAGGCTGTGCTCCTGAGGGCAGGGAACTGGCCCAAAGCCCAGTTCGGTGTCCCCTGCCAAGGAGTAGGCAAACAAGACAGCTTGGGTCCTGCTAGCCCTCGATTTGCACGGGTTCGCCCTTGTGGGGAGGGGAAGCGGGACTCAATAGGGCCTGTTTCCCTGAGTGTCCGAACTTCCGGTGCAGCCAGACTCTGACACACCGGTTTCCCTGTGGAGTGGTAAGCACTCTAAGAGGGGTACAGCGAATTAAGGATCCCCAGAGGAGACCGGATTCATTCTGCTCAGGGGGTCTCGAGAGGGCTCCTGGAGAGGATGTTGTGCTGAGACGTAAAGGATGAGCAGGTAAACGCCCAGATGAGACCCTCCCTCTCCAACCCTCACACACCATTGCCAAGAGGCAGGAAAAACGGAGGGACAGAGAGGGAGGGGCGCAGGCCAGGAGGGGGCGCGCAACCACCAGGGCAGGGCCTGGGTGGAAGGACTGGAAGCAGGCGCGGCGGGAAGACCCACAGCACCGGGTCTCCAACCTCTCTAGGTCTCCTGGGTCGCCGTGACGCTGCTGCTGCTGCTGCTGTTACCGCCCGCGCTGCTGTCGCCCGGGGCAGCGGCGCAGCCCCTGCCCGACTGCTGCCGCCAAAAGACATGCTCCTGCCGCCTCTATGAGCTACTGCACGGCGCGGGCAATCACGCGGCCGGCATCCTCACTCTGGGCAAGCGGCGGCCCGGCGCCCCAGGCCTACAGGGCCGGCTGCAGCGCCTCCTGCAGGCCAATGGCAACCACGCAGCCGGCATCCTCACCATGGGCCGCCGCGCCGGCCTAGAGCCAGCGCCGCGCCCCTGCCCCGGGCGCCGTTGTCCCGCGGCGGCCGTCTCTTCTGTTGCTCCTGGGGGACAATCTGGGGTCTGAGGACATACCTAGGCTATGACCTGGCCCTGCCCTCTCCCCAGTGCATTCCTGGTGTCAGCGCCCCCCCCCCCAAAAAAAAGGGCAATAAAGACGAGTTTCCGTTAATGTGGCTGGTCTGTGTTCCTGTGTTGTGGAGTCCCGCCCTCCAGGGGGCGTAAGAGTCTTGCGAACTATAAGGAGCTGGAGAGCCTGGAAGCCCAGCTCAGGGACACCTCAGCTCGGGGGGGTCGCTGAATACGAAACACTCCTGGATAGGGAGCCCCCAGAGCAAGGATATATGCAAGGTCTTGGGGTGCGGGAAAAACCTCAGATGTGCGTGCTTGGATGGGAGGATGTGGGACACGTCTCTCGAGGCTCTGCTGTATCCGGCCTTTACCGTGAGACAGGAGAGGGAGGGGAGCAAGAAGGGCTGCCCAGAGGAGTCCCAGGGGGAAGAGTTGCGGGTGGAGCCTGTGGAGAAGGCAGGGGATATGAGGTTCATCGTGAATCACCCAGAGTGGCTGCAGCGTGGGGTGGAGAGTGTGGGGAGAGGTGAGGCACTTGGAGGGGAGGCGGTTAGGTCGTGCAGCCCAGATGATGAAGACCTTTACAAGTCATCAGACTTTGCACTTGATTCTGTAGGTAGCTGCAAGTCACGAATGTGGGGATGGGGCAAGATTTTCCTGCAACTTGAGTGGAACACACCAGTTACGGGTTGAATTGTGCCTCCTCCCCAAATTCACGTGTTGATGCTCTAATCCCTAGCCCTTCAGAATGTGACCTTATTTGGAGGGTCATTGCAGATCTAATTAGTTAAGATGAGGTCATATTGGAGTGGAGGCAGAGGTCTTATAAAAGGGGGGAACTTAGTCACAGAAATGCACGCAGGGAGAATCCGTGTGAACATAAAGGCAGAGGTGGGAGATGCATCTACAAGCCAAAGACTGCCAGCAGCCCACCAGAAGCTGGAACAGAGGCATGGCACAGGCTCTCCCTCACAGCTTTCAAAAGGAACCAGTCCTGCCATTATGTCGAGCTTGGACTTCTCGCCTCCGGAACTGTGAGACAATACATTTTTGTTGTTTAAGTACCCAGTTTGCGGTCCTCTGTTACAGGAGCCCTAAGAAGCTAATATACCATCCAAAAGTAGAGACGCAGAAAGATGTGACACTTTTAAGCAATCTAACATCCCAGACGGTGCTGGGTTCACACTCTGTCAGGGGGAGGACACGGGCACCTGGCGCGCCCTCTCCAAGACCATCTTTCCGCTCTCGCTGGCCTTCACTGTTTTGTTCCGGGAAGCAGCCACCTAAGCCTCCAGGCTCAGCTGCCCCAGTAGTTTCCTGCTTCTGTGGTGAAAAAGTCCTCTGTCTGTTCTCACCTGGGTCCTTCTTACTGCTGTGCTGGTTAAGTCTCAGCGAAGATGTAGTTCAAGGTCCAGCAGCGCACGGGAGATGTGCCAACTGATTCTGTCCACCTTGAAACTGTCTTTCTCTGCCCCAGAGTGGCTTCCAGCCTCTCCTCCCCTTGCACGGCAGTAGAGAGAAGGAGGGTTAAATCAGGACAGTGAGAAGAGTGAGAATAGAGAGAAAATTGCTCTCCAACACACTTATTTTGTGCCAATGACATGCCTTATGCTACTCAATTCTCACAAACACATGAGGTAAAAAAGTATGAGCTCCACTTTACAGATGAGAAAAGTGAGGCTCAGAGAGGCCAATCCACAGATTTAATAAATGGCAGAGCCGGGATTCTCCCCGGTGGACTCCAAAGCTGTTTTCATCCACCCTGCTAGACTCAGGGGCAGAATTTGCCCCTGTGCCCTCTGCAAACTGAGGCATACGTGAGGGCTAAGCAGTGTATTCTAGAAACTGAGGTCCCAGCCTTGTCTCTCCCCAACCAGCAAAGCTGGCCGCATTAACCCTAGCTGTGTCACAACGGAACAGCAGGGTTCTCAGGGTGCTGCAAGACAGCCCAACTCCAGCGGGCCGGCAGCCCTGTGAACCAGATACCATTCCCAGCGTGGGCGGAGAGTAGGGAAGCCCGTGGGGCGGAGCCACAAGGAGAGCCAGGGAACCACACGCGGGGGCGTGGCCACCCGGGAAGAGGCGTGCCTGGCACTCAAGCCCCGCCCACCTCTTCGAACCTCTTCTCCCGGTAGGCGTGTCCCGAATTCTCTCCGCCAGAGACTCGCGTGGGCCGCTCCCCTTCCCCAGGAGGACCGCAGAGAGAGGTGCGGGTGTCACTGGTGGCCCCTCCCCGTGCGGGGCCACGTGGCGGGCGCGGGCCGAGCCCGGGGGGAAAGAATCTGGCCCGTGGGGAAAAGAACCACCGAGGCGGCGCCGAGCCCAGGCGAAAGCTGCGGGGCTCGGAGCAGAGCGGCGGCGGCGGTTAGAGAGAGGGTAGGAGGCAGGCGGGCGCATGGGGCGCCCCGGCCCCGCCGGCAGCGCGCCCCCTTGGGCCCCGCTGAGCTGAACGCACCCCCACCGCCAAGCCTCGAACTCGCGCCCCGAGGCCATGCCAGTCATGAAGGGGTTGCTGGCCCCACAAAACACCTTCCTGGACACGATCGCCACCCGTTTCGACGGCACGCGTGAGTGGGGCCGAGGCTGGGGCCGGGGGTTCGAGCTGGGCGCCAAGACCGGGCCAGCTTGGGTCTTCCGGAGGTGGTGAGGCCGGAGGCGAGAAGGAGAGTGGAGCTGAGGGTCTAGGAACTTCCGAAGCCGCGGTGAAGCAACGGCGCTGGCAGCGCTCTGCGACGCGAGGCGGGGAGCGAGCCCAGAGCGCCGGGGGCCGAGAGAGCGGGTGTGACTGGACGCGTGGAAGGCTCTCCGTGCGGCATCGCGGAGGAGAGGCCTGGGGAGCGTCCCACTCCGGGGCAGAGCCCGGCCAGGGCCGTGGGGGGCGGTATCCGAGACGCCGAGGTCGGACGTTTTGCAGTCCCGAGCTCTGGAGTCCACGCCCAGACGGCTCCAGCGCCCCCTTCCCCCAGGAAAAGAGAGAGGGAGGGAGGCAGAGAAGACCAGACTTCGGCAGGACCTAGTTTAGATTCAGGCCACGCACCCCAAGAGCGTGGCGCGTCTGCGTCTGAGGGAGGTGAGGCAGGAGGAGGGGGGTGGTCGGTGGGAGGAAGGGAACTCCCCGCTCGCCCACCCCAGCGTGGGCTCCAGGTTCAGCACCTCGGACAGCCGCACGCCTCCCTCCCCGCCCCTTCTCCCGCAGATCCCTTTTCCTACTTTGCAGCCTGGAGATCGCCGGCCGCCCCTCTCGGGCACCCTCGCTGGGACGGTGGGGGTGCTACCCTGCTGGGGGGCGGGGGCAGCGGTACCCGAGGGCGGAAACTGAGCTGCCGGGGGACCTACCCTCCTCCCCACCCTTCCTCCACGCCCGCCTCCCTTGTTTCCATAGCGCCCATCACCGGGGCAACGGGCTCTGGGACGGAAGAAGGAAGCCGCCGCTGCCCAGGACCCAGCAGCACCTCCCAGGCACCGTCCGTGTCCCCATCAGCCACCCCACCCTCATGCAGTCACCCTCCCTAGCGTCCCGGGGCTGGCTGTGTCTCAGGCCCCTCCCCTCAGCGGAGACTCTGTCCCTGGGTGGCCCCCAGAGCCCCCACTGTGGCCTCCCACCCACTGGACCAGGAGGGAGCTAACTCGGGTCCTGCTGCTGGCGTTGCTGGAGCCACAGCTCCACTGCCTGGTCCTGCCAGACTCGGAGCCCTGGGGACAGGCCCCCTGAAATTCGCTACAGAGATGCTAAAAAGAGAACCTTTCTTGGAAGGCAGGGAAGGAGGACACTACTCATCACTGTATCCCTCCTCCCACAAAGGGGATGAGGGAGTTTGGGTCGTCTCTGCCGTTTAGCTTCCTGTCAACAAAACGGGTGTGACATCCACAGAACCTCTGCCCTGTCCGCTCTCGGACGGGACGACGGGGCGGGGGGGGCTATGCTTTGACAGCTGTGCCAGTGTGGGGGTCTCGCTTCACCTCCTCAGTGCGGCCCTGATTGTGTTAGCAGAGTTCTCCCCAGGGGACTGCTGTGACTCTCACAGCCACTGTGTGAGGAGGGCATATCCCCCCCCCCACCCCCGACTTTGCAGCTCAGGAGGCTGAGCCACAGAGGAGTGCGTTAACCCGCCCAAGGCCACACGGTCAGTCACAGCAGAGGTGGGGTGCCGAGCCCGTGCCCTAACTCCCCGTGCCCTAACTCCCCGTGCTGTGCTGCCTCCCACAGTAAGGGCTCACTAGCTCGAAGGCAGGTGGATGAACGACATGAATTCTTTGGTCTCCTTCTCCAATCCCCTCGTAGTCCCCGTCCCAGTTCCAGGCCACCCTTAGGTCCCCGTCCTTCACTCTATCTCTTCTTAACTCCGAGAATACCCCAGAGGGGGACCCAGGAATCACACAGAAGCCTGGGAGGCTCCTGACTCTGTCACCTCCCACCACAGCTCGTGGGAGGTACAGCCCACCCAGAAGCGGAGCTCCCCTCCTGGCCTTGACCTGATCTTGACCTCTCTCTTTTCACAGATAGCAACTTCCTGCTGGCCAATGCACAGGGCCCAAGGGGCTTTCCCATCGTCTACTGCTCGGACGGCTTCTGCGAGCTCACGGGGTACGGCCGCACGGAGGTCATGCAGAAAACGTGCAGCTGCCGTTTCCTCTACGGCCCGGAGACCAGCGAGCCGGCCCTGCAGCGGCTCCACAAGGCCCTGGAGGGCCACCAGGAGCACAGGGCTGAAATCTGCTTCTACCGGAAAGACGGTGAGGGGCCTGGCCTGCCTGCAGCCCTGCCCGGACCCCGGGCCTTACCCAGAGTCCACTGGGCACAGTGGGAGCCCGGGTGCTGGTCCTCACACTGCCAGAAGCTGGCTGTGTGACACTGAGTGCGTCCCTGACCCTCTCTGGGCCTTGGTTCTCCCGTCTGGAAGGCGAAGGAGTTGGCTGATGTATCTGGAGTTCTTTCCAGCTCTGAACCCTTTAACGATGCCCAGGAACCCGGGGGGGTGAGGGACGCCACGGGCTGCTCACCTTCCCCCTCCATCTCTCCACACCCACAGGCTCGGCCTTTTGGTGCCTCCTGGACATGATGCCCATCAAGAATGAGATGGGGGAGGTTGTGCTTTTCCTCTTTTCCTTCAAGGACATCACTCAGAGTGGAGGCCCGGGTCTCGGCCCCTCAGGAAGCCATGGGGACAGTAATCATGGTAACTGCAAGTCTGGGGAGAAGGCGAGCACGGTCCGAGGTCCTAGCCCGAGGTCACACGAGACGTCTCCCTACCCAGCCTCCTGGGGTGTGCCCCTACTCATCTCCATACCTTCTTCCCAATAGAAAACTCCCTTGGCAGGCGGGGAGCCCGGTCCAGACTTCGATTCGCCCGGAGACAGAGCCGTACCGCCCTACGCAGGCTGACCGGCCACTTTGGCCGCCGGGGCCGGGGAAGCCTGAAAACCAATAATGTGAGTGCTGCCTTCACCCCAACATCTGCCAGCCGTGATGCGGAGGCTCCCTGCCGCTGTCCCCCTGTTCCCCTGTCTGTCTGGTCTCCCTCCAGCGACTTGTCTCTCTGTCCCTGTCTCGCAGCCAGCTCGGCTCTGTCCCAGGCCCCCCCCCCCCCGCATCTCCTCCCGTCCCCACCTCCCTTGCTTCCCCATGATTCACATCGCTCTGCTCAGGAGTTAGCACGGGCCGGGGCTCTAACAGCAGCTATCGCATCTGCCTCTGGCTGACGAGGTTACCCTGCTGGAGGAAGGGGGAAATCACAAGCTGTGTCCTAGGGCGAAAGCCCCCACGGGGGCCTCACACCTGGCCCTGTCCTGCGCCTAGGACCCTGATAAAGCTACGGGACTGAGTTCCAACCCTCTACGCAGTCCCTCGGGGCTACAGGGAAAGGGGTGCTGTGCCAGCCTCCCCTCTTCACTCCTAGACACACTGATCCTCCACGGGGCCCCCGGGACCCAAGGGGAACTTGAGGGAGAAGTTCGTGGCCCCTCAAGCCAGGACATGTGCCTGATGTGTCATCATATCCTCAAGCAGGGCGAAGGTCATGCCTTGAAATATTCCCCAGAAAACACGATTGATTCAAAAGATGTCACGAGTGGTAGCTTGGCAGAGGAAGGGTCCAGTGCCGGCCCCTGGAACCCTCTCCTGCACTTCCTGCCTCTCCTGGTGGCTGTGTTTGCAGTGCTCACCCCCCCTTCCCCACGCCCAGCCTCTCCCTCCCCCCGCCTTGGCTCCTCTGGCCCCCAAGTGTCCCCAGCCACCTCCTCTCTCCCCTTAGAACGTGTTTGAGCCAAAGCCATCGGTGCCTGAGTACAAGGTGGCCTCCGTGGAGGGGTCCCGCTGCCTCCTCCTGCACTACAGCGTCCCCAAGGCCGTCTGGGACGGCCTCATCCTCCTTGCCACCTTCTACGTCGCAGTCACCGTCCCCTACAACGTCTGTTTCTCGGGCGACGACGACACCCCCATCACTTCCCGACACACCCTCGTCAGCGACATCACCGTGGAGATGCTGTTCATCCTGGGTGAGAGCCTCTGCCCCACATACCCTGGTGTGTGTGTGGGGAAGGGGGGCGGCCGGGGGGGCCCACTCAGTCTAGCCTCTCCCTATTCTGGGCTGCAGGACCCAGGCACTCAGAGCCCAAGGATCCCTGGGATTGTAAGTCGTAATGGTCCACGTGCCCTGATTCCTAACCCTGCAGCCTCTGCCTCTCGGCCCCGCCACCTTAAGGACCAGCCGGAAGCCCCGTCGGTCCTCCCCTTCCCGGCCTCTGAGTCCATCCCGGGTCTCTAAGGCTTGTCCCCGGCTCACCCAGGTCCTTGGCCTGGGTTTCTAGGCCAAGACACCCTAGCAGCAGTCTCTCGCACCCGCAGATATCATCCTGAACTTCCGCACGACCTACGTGTCCCAGTCGGGCCAGGTGGTCTCTGCCCCCCGTTCCATCGGCCTCCACTACCTGGCCACCTGGTTCTTCGTCGACCTTATCGCCGCTCTGCCTTTTGACCTGCTTTACGTCTTCAACGTCACCGTGGTGAGCGGCCCGCGTCCCACCCCACTGAGCGGCCTGCCCTCCCGCTCCGGCTCCGGCCGAGCTTCTCCCGTTAAGAGAGCGGCTGCAGGCTCCGGCTCAGTCCTTCCCGTCCCTCCACCCACGGATACGTGTCAGGACTCTGCTACGGGCAGAGCCCCGCATGCGGAGCTGCAAAGGTTCTGAGGGGGTCCGTGTGCTCCTGGGGAGCTGGGCTCACAGACTCTGGGGAAAGCCGAGACAAACGGGAAGCTAAGTAGGGCTACCGAGGCGGCGCTGGCCTGGTGCCGAGCAAGTGGTACTTTTTACATTTTTACTCAACAAACAACGGATGAGCATTTAGCTGTCTGCAAAGCATGGTGTGGGGCATGGTCAGTGTGAGGAAGAGGAGCAAGGATTCAGCCTCCAAGCAGCCAAGCTGCTGAGGGGGCCTGACCCCTGGCGGGGACAGCGGGCACAGAAGAGGAAGGGGTGAATGAAATGCAAGGTTAGGCCCAGTTACTGGCGGGGGGGAGGCTGGGCACGGAGCTAGCTGACCTTGGAGTTCCAGGCTGGAACATGGGCACGGATAGAAATGATCAAAAATGTAGCCAGTGCCGGGGAGACCAGAGCACCCCAGCTGGGCAGAGGCGAGGGCGGCCTGGGGAGGGTCCATGAGAGGTGAGAGTGGGGCCGGGCCTCAGGTGAAGAGTGGGGTGGGCTGGCAGGAGAGGGAGCATTTTCGGGGAGCATGCAAACCCAGACGAGGAGGGAGAGGGTGTCGGGTGGGGCACTGACACTCGTGTCCCCTCAGATCCCTAGGGGCTGCAGAAAAGTGCCCTTGAGTGGTCAGCCCCGCACCCGGCCAGGGGAGAGTAGGTCTTCTGGGGTCGAGGGGGGAGGGAGTCCCACCCTCGGCCCCCAGACCCCCTTGGTTTTGGTTGGGGAAGTGGTGAGCAGTTTCCCTGTGCGCGCCTCGCCCCGCCACACTCAGCTATAGCAGGAAACCACCTACACGCAGCCAGATTTAACTAGCCGCCAACGAGCGGTGGGCCTCTTCTCCTGGCTGTGTACAAGTGTGTGCATGCTCCCACACACGTGCGTGTGTGTGTGTGTGTGTGTGTCTGCCCCGGGGCCCTGGCCCTTCCAGGCACAGCTCTCAACCCTTCCGCATCCCCTGTGCCCACCGGGCTGTCCCTGGGGAGAGGGAGGACTGCAGAGAGCCCCTGGCCCCCCCTCCCAGGCAGCTCCCCCTCCTCTGGTCCCTTCAGGAGCCCCTTACAGTTTACTAGGTTCTTTTACACGCACGTCACTCGGGAGCCTTGCAGTAACCCTTCAGGGCAGATTCTCCTATCCTTCTTTTTCAGAGGGGGATACTGGGGTTCCGAGAGGTTAGGTGGCTTTCTGAAGGTCACACAGCTAGCAATGATGGGCAGAAGATTGGGATGAGGTCTCCAGTCTCCTAGTCTAGTATTCTTCCCAACACAGAACCCTGCTTCCCAGGAAACCAGGGCACCTGGGAGAGGGTGGCCCGGTATTCGGGGAGGTGAGGGGCAGTGCTGGGGCTGGAGGGAGGTGGGGCCAGGAGGCACCGGCAGAGCTGTGGGACCGAAGGGGCTGGATCTGGGGCGGCCTGGGCAGAGGAGAGGCGGCCCCGAGGGAGCAGAGTGCGGGGACGGGAGGCTGAGGGAAGCCCTGAAGGACTAAGGTCGGGGGCTCTGGGAACCGGAGGCAGGCATTCGGCCCTGGAGAGGGTCCACAGGGCGGGACTCAGGGCTACCTCCTTCACCTAAAATGAGATAAAATGGCATGAGGTGACTCAATAGCCATGCAGGGCCAGGGCTACCTGGGATGCTCCTGGAGACCCAAGAAAGGACAGCGAAGGGCCTTCCTAGCAGGTGACCCACGCCGCCCCAGAGCGCCCAGCCCTAGCAGGGAGAAGGTAACCCTCACCGGCCTGTCATCCCTGAGCCCAGAAGAGCTAACCAAAGCTTTAATAACCACAGTGAAAGCAGCTGTAGTGGCAATGACAGCTAACGTTTACAGGGCCCTTGCCAAGTGCCACACCCCATGAGGGCTAGGATCTCGGAGCCCAGGCTCCCTCAGTCCCTGCTGTCCCCCCTTAACATGTCAGCATGACCCTTTCGTCTGCAGCTGGCCCACAGAGAAGAAGGTCCCTGAGCCTTCCCTTGTCCTGGCCTGTCCCCACTCTACCACAAGTCTCTCTATCTCGGGGGTGACTCCCACCGCAAGTGCTGTTGTCACCGACAACCAGCTCTTGTCCACAGTTGATTGCACCCAGGGCGCCAGAGACCTCATGCATGGGCCGGAGGTCGTTCTGTCTGCTCCCCTGCCTTCGGCCGGGACTTGCTCTTTTGCCGCCCACGGCACTACAAGGCAGCGTGCCACATTGTGTCAGCCCCATTGGGCTGACTTTGGTGTCAGCCCCCTCGTTTCCTTGGTCTGCGTCCTCGAGCAAGTCACTGATCTCTCTTAGTTTACTCACCTGTAAGTCAGGAGCAGGGATGATCTTTGGGCTGAAGGCATCATCGTTTTATGAGGCTTACAACTACTTAGCCCAGTCCTGACACATAGTAAGTCCTTACCGTTAGCCATCATTAGTTTTTGCATCATTCCCCCTCCCCCCACCCCCTTGCACTTTCTGGCCACCTTCTTAGCGACAAAGATGTTCTTCCTGCTGTAGCTTCCCCTGGCTCCAGGACTCTGACGGCAAGGTGCCGGGGTGGGGGGACACGTGGGGGGTGGGGCACGGAGCCTGCGGGGCGCTGTGCCTCTGACAGCCTCCCCCGCCCGCCACACGGCCGCAGACATCGCTGGTGCACCTGCTGAAGACAGTGCGGCTGCTGCGGCTGCTGCGGCTGCTGCAGAAGCTGGAGCGGTACTCGCAGTGCAGCGCCGTGGTGCTCACGCTGCTCACGTCCGCCTTCGCGCTCCTCGCCCACTGGATGGCCTGTGTCTGGTATGTCATCGGGCGCCGGGAGATGGAGGCCAATGACCCGCTGCTATGGGACATCGGTGAGCCACTGACCCCAGGCTTTCGCTGACCACCCACCCACCCACCTGCCCTGCCACGCAGGCACCCAAGCCGATGCCTCCGCCAGCACCCACACCCCACACCCACATTCCTCTGTTCATCCAACCAATGCTCAACCACGCATCGAGCTCCTTCTGGATCAACACGGGAAGACTGATTTGAAGACCAGGGCTTTGCCTTGCGGGGACCTCACAGCCTAGTAGGGGAGCAAGACTGCATTCATAGAAAATCAAAATGCAGTATGAGATGCACTCTAGTGGTAGGGAGGGTATTTGGGGCAAAGGGAGCAGTACCCCTCCCGGGCCCCTCCCGGTGGCTCCTCTGCCGTCAAAACAGAGTCCACACGCAGCACACGCCCTGTGTGTGGCAGCGGCCTGCTCGGTCCCCGCCGGCTTCCCCCGCCCCCCCGCCCCCGTGCCCCCTGAGCCGCAGCCACGCCGGCCTCCCTCCAGCTCCCAGGCTGCACTGCTTCCTCACCGTAGGCCTTGAACATGCCTTCCTCTCTGGAATCCCCTTCCTGTGGTCTCCCCTCCCTTCACCTGGTGACTTGTCTGTTCCTTTCAGGCTCAGCTAAAACGCTCTGTCCTAAGGGAGCCACTCAGGAACCACGTTCTTCCCCCCGACCCCGCTGCACTGGGCCTCCCTAACCCAGTGGGACTTCTAAGATACTCTCTAGCTCATGGTTAGGAGCTTGCCTCCCACCTGCAACAACAATTTATTTCACGTCTCTTTGGCCTCCAGACTGTAATTTCCACCAGGGCAGGGAGAGTGTCTGGCTGGGTCAGGGTCCAGCACCCTGTACACAGGAGGTACTCAACAAACTGTGAGAGAGTGGCAGAGACCCCTAGCCAGGCCGCAGTGTGGGGCGTTGGTGGCCTTGGGCTGCAGCTATAACCAACCCATGGCACCGAGGCCCAGGCCACGGCTGCTCCTCACATTTCCTGTGCCAGCCCACGAAAACTTCCCCTCGCCTCTATAAATACTTGACCAAATAGCTGACCTGCAAGCGCAGGTGGCTCAGGGAAACCCAATCCGCCACCACTGGGTGCAGCTGGGGCTCCTTGCATCCGTTCTCCGCCCCGCAGGCTGGCTGCACGAGCTGGGCAAGCGGCTGGAGGTGCCCTATGTCAACGGCTCCGCGGGCGGTCCGTCGAGGCGCAGTGCCTACGTTGCTGCGCTTTACTTCACGCTGAGCAGCCTCACCAGCGTGGGCTTCGGCAACGTGTGCGCCAACACCGACGCCGAGAAGATCTTCTCCATCTGCACGATGCTCATAGGCGGTGAGACCAGGCCTGCCCAGCCCCGCGATGGCCCTGCTAAGCCCAGCTTGCAAATAGGGAAATGGGGCCCAGAGAAGGCCATCCAGACAGCCCTGCATTCATTCATAGAGCTGTCCTCTGCACCTACTACGTGCTGGCCCCCAGGGATGCCACTGACAGGCGTGCCTCTTGCTAAGGGGATGGGAAACACACGTTCAAGACCTATTTGTGGGGGAGGGGCATGAGAGAAGCATCAGGTCTGACGCCCCTCGGGACCACTTTCTAGTCCTCTCCCCAAGCCAGCACCTGGCACCAGGTAGGCACGCAGCAGCCCACTGGCTCTCCGGCCCTTCCCCAGGAACCCAGAGCCCCGTCCCAGGCAGGGTGGGTTTGGGAGCCGGTGCCCACCCTAACCTGCTGCCCGCCGTCCACGCTGCAGCGCTGATGCACGCGGTGGTGTTCGGGAACGTGACGGCCATCATCCAGCGCATGTACTCGCGCCGCTCGCTCTACCACCGCCGCATGAAGGACCTCAAGGACTTCATCCGCGTGCATCGCCTGCCGCGGCCGCTCAAGCAGCGCATGCTGGAGTACTTCCAGACCACGTGGGCCGTCAACGGCGGCATCGACGCCAACGAGGTAGGGTGCTGGGATTCCTGGTCTGCGCCACGTGGGGGCGCAATGGCACAGGAGGTCCAGCCTCTCTGGGTTTGGAATGGAGGCACCCCAGGGTCCCGGGCCGTGAGGTGGTGTTCGCGAGGGCACGCACCCACCCAGATCCACATCCCTTTTCCTATACACTAGAATTTGGGAGCCTAAAGAGAGCTCAGGCCTTAGCTAATGCCATGCTCCCTTCAGCTGCCATTTCCCCAGCACCTGCTGTGGCCCTGACTCTGTGCTGGGCGCAGGGAGCTCCGAGGTGATCCCACGCAGCTCTTCGCCCCAGGGAGATGCCAGCCTGGCAAACAAATCACACAGTGAACGGGGCTCTGCTGTGGGGCTCTATGTGCCACTGGGCATCCTCACTGGGTCTGGGCCTCCAGGGGTCAGGGAAAGTGGCACAGGAGGCGGGACACCGTGAAGGACAATCAGGAAATCGGCCTTCTACCAGAAGGCCGGTCCAGGCAGAAAGAGCAATAGGAACTCAGGCCCGGAAATGCTGACGCAAAAGAACAGGGTGAGTTCGGGGAACCGAGAGTAGCTCCGTGAGCTTTCATGGTCTGAGGCGCAAGCACTGGGGGGTGGAGACAGAGAGAGAGAGTGCCAGAGGCTGGGGGGCTGGCCCAGCTCATAGATGGCCTTGACTTTGGACTTGATCCCCCAGAATGTTCAGGCTGGGGAGTGGCCTGGGGATCTGCGAGGTATTTCTGAGAGCAGGCAGGCGCCGTGGGGCTCGGTGCTCCCGGGTGCAGGGGTGGAGCCCAGAGTGATTCCCAGGGCCCTGGCCTGGGGGGAGGGGTGCAGTGGGGACAGGACAGGAGGAAGGCTGAACTTAAGGGTGCAGATGAGGGTCCAAAGTGGGGCCGTGATGAGAGCGCGGTGCCTGTGGGAGACCCAGGTGGAGTGTGCCTCGGACTTAGTTGAAAATATAGGTCTGGACCCTGGGGTACAACTCCGGGCCCACAGGGAGTGTGGATGTCCTGGAGCTGGGTGCCGTGGTGCAGGGAGAGCGTGGAAAGTTAGCAGAGAGGCACGAGGCAGGCTGAGAATGAGGAGGCTGGGGAGGCGATGGGGACCAGGGAGAGCCAGCAAGCCACAGCGGCCGAAGGGCCCCGTAACGTGAGGATGGAACTGCGAGTGTTCAGTTTGGCTCCTACGGGGTTGTTAGTGATGTTCAAGGTCTAGTGTAACCCTGCCATTTACAGACAGCCCAGAGAGAGAAAGTGGCTTGCTCAAGGTCCACAGGGATTTAGGAGCAGGGCTGACTTCCAGGCTTGGGCTGACCCATGGGGGATGGTCCTTGCATTCCCAGGGCTGAGCAACCAGGACGAGTGTGAGTGACCACTGTGTATAACCCTGGTCCACGGACAGACAGGACAAGACCTGGTCTCCGCCCAGCAGGAGGGGCCACACACGAGTAAAATGGAGGCTAGACAAAAGCAGTCTTCCAGAAAGTCGGGAAGGGGTAACATCCGAGCAGAGGGCGAGTTCAAGCTGTCTCCTCGGTGACAGCTCAGCACATGTGTAGACAGAGAGGAGCAGCTGCGGGGGGGTGGGGGGGTGGCCAGAGTGACCCACGGCCTTCACGCAGTTGCTGCGCGACTTCCCCGATGAGCTGCGCGCCGACATCTCCCTGCACCTGAACCGGGAGATCCTGCAGCTGCCGCTGTTCGGCGCGGCCAGCCGGGGCTGCCTGCGGGCCCTCTCCCTGCACATCAAGGCCTCGTTCTGCGCGCCGGGCGAGTACCTGCTGCGCCGCGGGGATGCCCTGCAGGCCCACTACTACGTCTGCTCGGGCTCGCTTGAGGTGCTGCGGGACAACATGGTGCTGGCCATCCTGGGTGAGGATCACACCGCCACCGACCCCTCCCCCTCCCCCCAGAGGCCTTGGGGTGGCAGGAGTCTAGGGACCTGGGGCACTCCCGGTGGGTAGCTGGCATTCCTGCTGAGGAGCACTCTTTCTTGGTCCCTTCTCCCTACCACCACCCCCTTTTGACCTTTCCCCTCAAGCTCTGCCCTGATCCCTTGGCCACCCCTCAACCCATCGACCCTTCCCTCAATTGGCTCTTCACCATTGACCTTCAACTCCATTGACCTTTACCCTTTAACCGACCCTCCTGGCCATTCTTTATTGATCGTTCCTCCAGCCCACTGCCGTCCCTCACTGACCGTCTCCCAGCTTCACCAGTCACTCTGCACTGGCCTGTTCCCAATTCCACCGGTAACTTCCATCAGTCCCATTGACTGGGCCCCTCCAGCCATCCTTCGAGCACACTGACCGCCCCTCAAATCCATTGACTAGGTATACCCTCTTGGTCCCTCGGCCCCCACTCACTGGCCCCGGCTCACTGCCCGCATCCCTTCCCCACAGGGAAGGGGGACCTGATCGGGGCAGACACCACGGAGCCAGGGCAGGAGCCTGGGTCGGGAGCAGGCCCAGCCTGCGTGCTGAAGACCAGCGCGGACGTGAAGGCGCTGACGTACTGCGGCCTGCAGCGGCTGAGCAGCCGCGGGCTGGCGGAGGTCCTGAAGCTCTATCCTGAGTACGCGGCCGCCTTCCGCGCTGGCCTGCCCCGAGACCTGACCTTCAACCTGCGCCAGGGCTCTGACACGAGTGTACGTAAGCCCCACCCCACAGCCTCCATCTCCTCTGAGGTTCCTTCCTTTAAAGCAGACCTCCGCCCGCCCCAGGGAGACCCTCAGGCATGGCCTTACACCCTGGAAACACCCTCTCTCGACCCCAGGCAACCCCATCCATTGCCCCTTCGGTGCTCACCACCGTCCAACCCTCCTGGCCTCCCCCTCTGGCCATCCCTCCACCCATGCAGCATCTCTCACCGCCTTTCCTTCCGACTCTGCTGACCCGTCACCTCCCGCTGCCCGTCCCTCAGCTTTGCTCCAGACTCCCCAGAGGGCCTGCACTTTGGAAACCATCCCCTTGCGTGCTCCTCCTCGGTCCAGTCCCTCTCCGGACTGGGCGCCCTCCCCCGGGCTTCCTCACTCACCAAATGCTCCCGGAGCCGGTTTTGGTTGAGGTCTAAAGGTTACACCCTAGGCCTTTGTCCTTTTTTAAAAATATTTTATTGATTTATTGTTAGAGTTGGGAAGAGAGGGAGAAAGAGAGAGAGAGAAACATCCATGTGTGGTTGCCTCTCATGGGGCCCCCACTGGGGGCCCGGCCTGCAACCCAGGCCTGTGCCCTGACTGGGAATCGAACCTGCGATGCTTTGGTTCGCAGCCCGCACTCAATCCACTGAGCTACACCAGCCACCTAGGCCTTTGTCTTTTACTGCTTTTCACACTGACGAATTTCCCCTGAGGATTTCTCTGAGCTGGAGTTGGAGGTATCTCTGACTCAAACCCACAAAAAGACCCCGTATTCTCAAACCCCAGAGCAGTGGTGGGTGGGACTAGGAGGTGTTGTACTGACAGAGTGGGGAGGGGTGAGTAAGCTGAACCCCCTCTGTCCCCAACAGGGCCTCAGCCGCTTCTCCCGGTCCCCTCGGCTCTCTCAGGTACCCTTCCCTTCCTGGGTGGAGTTGAGGTTGCGTGGCGGAGACGCTGGGAGGGGGGCACCTTTCCTCTGCTCCTCTGCTGCGGGGAGAAGGGAGAGGGGACTCGGGGCATCACCTGCCAATAAGGATTGTTGCTTAGTGACGAGGCCCGTCGTTCACTGTCCTGCGACATCAGCTGCCCCTCTGCCCACAGCCCCGCTCGGAAAGCCTTGGCTCCTCCTCGGACAAGACCCTGCCGTCCATCACGGAGGCCGAGGCCGGGGCCGGGCCTGGAGGTGGTCCCAGGCCCCGCAGGCCCCTCCTGCTGCCCAACCTCAGCCCAGCCCGGCCCCGCGGCTCCCTGGTCAGCCTTCTGGGTGACGAGCTGCCCCCCTTCTCCTCGGCCCTGATCTCTTCCCCTTCCCTATCGCCATCTCCGTCTCCTGCCCTGGCTGGCCAGGGCCACAGCCCCTTCTCTCATGGCCCCGCCAGGGGCTCTGCCGCCAGGAAGCCCCCCCAGCTTCTTATCCCCCCACTGGGAACACTTGGACCTTCGGACCTCAGTCCCCGGTGAGACACCAGCCTCCCCTGCCTTCCCCGCACCACTGCTGGCTTCCAGAACCTTCTCGAAGCTCTGTCCCCAGTGCTCCTCTCTGTCTCTGCCCCATGCGCCCGCCATGCCCTTCCCGACCCACCACAGCTTGCGACCCCACGCCACGCCTCTGACTGCTGCTCCTCCCCAGCTCCCTGGCACCACGGCCACATTCCCCCTCTGCTTGCTCTGCTCTGGCCCTCACCCCCTCCCTGTGGGACTGATGACCACTGCCCCCGTCCCAGGGTAGTGGACGGCATTGAGGACTCCGGCAGCTCAGCGGAGGCCCCGGTGTTCCAGTTCAGCAGGAGGCCTGAGCACCCCAGGTCCCACTCTCAGGCCCCTCCCACAGGTAAGGGCCAGCAATGGACTCAACGCATCGTCAGCCATTCACCTGCCATTCACGCATTCATTCATCCGCCTATCCCTCCCACGGGTAGTAAGGGCCTGCCACGTGCCGGGTGCTGTGCTCGGAATGCACGGATAAACCAGAGCGGGCCCACGTTCCTAGCGATCTCCCAGTCTCACGGGGGAGACCCCTGTGTGTGTACTCAGGTAAACGATTCCGGAACAGCGTGCTGATACCACACCTGAGACCAGGGCAGGGCTCTGAGGCAGGAAAGGAGAGCCCCCTCAGCTGTCCGTCCTAGACTAGGAGGGGACTCTTGTGGTTGGGTCTTAAACCCTGGGTAGGCGCTTGAGGGGCAGAGTAAGGCAGGTGTCGAAATGCAAAGAGGCATGACAAGAGCATGTTACGTTCAGATATCAAAAGGAAGGTTCGTGCCTGGAAACCAGAAGGGTGGGCGGCCCGCGGAAATCACAGAGCCTCAAAACCAGCCCGAGAGTTTGGTCTCCCCATCCTCCTGGCCCCAGAGCTTCCTCTCCTCTCGTCCTCTGCCTGCCCAGTGACAGGAAGGGGCCCAGCCCGCGCTCTAGACATAGGCTCCTGGCGCTCACTGCATCCCTCCGCCCCACTCTGTCTGCAGGGACCGGGCGCAGCCAGGAGCTGGCCACCGGGGCCGAGGAAGTGAAGGAGAAGGTCTGCAGGCTGAACCAGGAGGTGGGTGGGGGCTGGCTCCTGCTCTCCAGGCTCGGAGAACATCATGCTGGGATCAGGGGCAGGCCTTGTACGAAAGCATTTCAGGATTTGGAGCCGGAGTCCTGAGTTTTAAATATTCACACTAGCTGGGTGATCTTAGGCAGGTCCCACAACCTGTCTGAGCTTCGATTTCCTCATCTAAAAATGGGGGACACGATGCATGTTCTGGAGTTGTTGTGAGGGTGCAGTGAGAGTGCGCAGGCGCCCAGCCCGGGCCCTGCACACGTGAAGTACTCAGCGATGGCAGCTCCCCCTACCCCCCCCCACCGGCTTAGGCTGTCCAGCCTGGAAAGGGGGCCTCTCCTCCCCGCCCCAACCGGGGGATGCTCTCCTGCACTGAATGCCCCGACCACATCCCAGTGCTCCAGGTCTTTCCCTTACCCCAGCCCCGGGGAAATGAGTGCTAAGCAAACGTGGGGACCCAGGACAGAGAGGCGGAGAGGCCTTCAGCCCCAGGGGCACTTGGAGCCCAATGTCTGAGTCCCGGTCGGGAAGAGCCCAGATGCTGTACTTGGGAGACTCTGCCTCTACCTCTGCCACCTCCCCAGGGATCTCAGAGTTGTCACCACAGCGAAGCCAGGCCCAGCCCTTGGGAGTCAGCCTTCCCTGCAGATAAACATGAAGCTTCCCCAGGGAGCAGCTGGGGGGAGGGGCAAGGCCTGGGGCTGGGGGCGGGGCCCAGCGCACGTTCTGCAGGATCGAGGGCCAGTCCTGCCTCCGCTCACAGTTCTAGGCCAGCGGCTCCACGCCCGAGTGTCCGCTGGCACCTGGAAAAGCTGGTAGAATGTAGCTTCCTGGGTCTCTCCCCATTTGGAATGTCTGGGGTCCAGAAAGCCGCATTTGTATACGTTTCTCGGTTGACTCTGCGCTCCCTGAAATTTGAACAGCACTTGACCTTGAGTGATGGGATAGCCCGACAGTGAGGCAACATCTGTCGTTTCAAAGCCACGCAGCCTCCTCAAGTACATTTTTGTGCATCTCGTAAAAGTGGGGTGTCGGGGAGGACGGCAATGGCTGCCGTCACTAACCTTTTTTTTTTGGAAAGGTTTGGGGTATTTCCATGGAGACCAGATAGCCCCTTCCTTGCTTCCCTCTCAGGGCGGCCGTGAGCAGAGAGTGGTTACGAAAGGACTTTGTCAGCTGTGGGGTGGGGTGGGGGTGGGGGTGCACCCAGCAGGGTAGTCGTGACCCCTGGGAAATGATCCCTGTGTTTCCCACAGATCTCCCGCCTCAACCAGGAAGTGTCTCAGCTCAGCCAGGAGCTCCGGCACATGATGGGCCTGCTGCAGGCCAGGCTGGGTCCCCCCGGCCACCCGACAGCCTCAGCGTGGCCCTCAGACCCTCCGTGCCTCCAGCCCAGGCCTCCATGCCTCTCTCCCCATCTGTTGGGGCCACCGCCTCGCCTCCAGGATACTACTCTCGCTGAGGTCCACTGCCCAGCCACCGTGGGGGCAGCAGAGATGAGGGCTGCCCCCTACGACCTGAGACCCTGCGTGTTGTCCCCCTACCCCTCAGAGCCGGACCCTCTGGGACCCTCCCCAGTGCCAGAGGCCTCACTCCGGACCCCAAGTCTCATGAGACACAGCTTCCGGTCCAGGTCAGACACGTTCCACTGACCCTGGCCCCGGGCCCAGGCCTGTCTGGGGCGGGCATTGCCACCCGCCACCAGGGAAAGGCTGGGCCCACCTTGGGTCAGCAGCCACCAGCTGGTCTGGTTGGCTCCGGATTCTAAGAACTTTTTCACAAAGCCTGGTCACTTTTGACCCTCTTTCCTTTTCCAAACCTCCTGTCCTCTCTGGGAGGGGAGCCACCTGAGGCCGTGGAACCCGACAGGCATGAGAGCGAACTCAGTGCCCACTGGGCTGGGCAGATGAGACGTCCTGCCTTCTCCCCAGGACCTGGAGGCAGGTAGAGATGGGGGAGCAGGAGGGGGCGGGGGAGGGCCCCAGATCCAGCCCGGGAAGGGTGAGGCAACAGCAGGCAAGATCTTGGTGTCCAGAGCTGGAGGGATGGACAGATAGCCGATTCCACGGCAGAGATAGCGTAGTGACATTGTGAGGTCTTCTGTCCCAGCCCCTGTGGCTCTGCTGGAAACCTTGAGAGTAATGTTGCTCATTGCTCTCTAGAGGAATCTATTCTCCAAATCTAAAGGTCTAGATCTGAGATCCTGGCTGGCATTTGAGCAACCCAAGACTCCTTAGGCCTCCCACTATCAGCCCAAGCCGGAGGGGCTCACGGCATCCCTCAGCCCACAGGGGAGACAAACCAATGACCCCCAGATACGTATTCCCGGGCTCTCAGCTTCTCTTTAAAATAGAAATGAGTTGCCACCATCAGAAATCAGGGGAGTACACATAAAAACCCAGATATCCCAGGCTCTTGGAAACGTTTCAGGAGATCTGGTGATCCTGACCCAATATTCCACCTGGCAATAATCAGGCGGTGTGGGCTACTCCTGTTCTCTTTCTATGGGGCTGAACTCTCCCCCTCTTCACGGCCCCAGTGTTTCTTGACCATCCCCTGATAGCCCGCTGCCTTCCCTCATTTGAGTTTTTTGTCTGGTCTCTGTGGGGTTTTGAGTTTACAGTCCTTGCCCTAGAGTGTGCTTGAAGGCTCCTATGTCCCAGGGGGCACTGTGGGGGCCCACCAATGTCTCTCTCTACCCTCTGGGCATGGGCCTGTCAACATCTTTGTCTCTCTGCAGGCTGTCACGGAAGGTGGTCTCTTCTGTCGCCAGCAACTTGAAACAGTTCCATCAGCGCTCCCCGTCCCTCCCCTGCCTCCAGGCCTCAGCCAAGCCTGTCCTCCCCTTTCCCAACAGGGTCTCACTCAGGGCCCTGACCTCTCACAAACTCACCCTGGTCTCCAGCTCTCCTTTACCCCTCAACACCCTGGGCTCACTTTTGGATAGGAAATAAATTATTTATTTTTGTAGTTGTTGTCTCTGGCTGTTTCTAGAGGTTGGTCGGAGAGCCCCAGGGCTTTGGAGGAGCCCACAGTGCAGCCACTCCCCCACCACACCCCAGGGCCCTGCGCTGTCTCTAGAAAGGGGAGAGGCGCCAGCCAATTCACTTGGCACCACATTCACGCCAGCAGAGGCCCCAAGGATGAGGCAGAAACCTTAATGAGTCACTATGGGCCATTATACCCCCTCCTCTTTCTGCCCCAGTCACAGCCATAGATTCAGACACAGTATGTGGGGGGAGGGGGACAGAGTCCTGGCTCAGTCTCGCCTCCAGGCCTGGAAAGGTGGCCCATGGGACTCCCCACTGATCCTGTACCTGCTGCATGCCAGGTACAGCAGGACCTGGAGGAAGAGCTTGTCACCAGCCAAGAACCTGGTAGGAATCTCACACTGCCCCATCCTCTTTGCTCTCCTAAGCCCTGCTTTCCCTCCTAGCCTTCTCTTCTCTGATGACCGTTGCAGAGATGGATGGGATGAATGCCATGACTGCTGTTAGAAAGAGGCCCCCCTGGAAACCAGAAGGAAATGAGTGTGGGCAGTTTTGTGGCAGGTCTTCCAAGAGAGTGCAGTTCTCCAGTTCAGGCCCCAGAGTATGATTGGTGTCATAGGAGCGATGCCTACAGCTGTCTCTGGGGCGAGGTTGGGTTCCCTACAGGTTATGAGTAGTGTCCCTGGGGGTGAGATGTAGAAGCAGAAGTATGGTCTGTGTTGGAGCGTAGAAGGTAGGCAGGCGCGTAAGTGGTCCTAATCCATATGGAGGGGAGCAGAAAAAAATGGAAACAGCCCTGACCCTTACGGAGGGTAAGGTGGAAGCAAGCACAAGCGGTTCTACTCTGCATGTATGGGTGCGGGGAGAGAAGGCAGAAGTGGTCAGGCTCTGTAGTTGGCATCAGAGACGAGAGCTAGTCCTGGCTGGGCGTGGGGCAGGCAGAGGCAGAGGCAGTCCTGGAGAATTTTGGAGTCCAGCCAAAGAGGGAGGACCCTGGTTGACCTGAGCAGTGGCAGGGGCTCTCTCTTTGATCTCACCCGGTAGCCCCCAGAGAACCCTTCCTTCAGCGCTTCCATCACCCTCCCCATCACCGAACGTCCCCAACAATCGGGCTCCCAGAGCTGATTTGACCCGAAAGGGCCGACAGGAGCTTCTCCGGTTTAGCGACAGCTCAGGACTGCTCTCCGCGGCCTCACGTGCCTATTCATTCGCATCATGGTTTTCCTTCCCAGTTCTGCACACACTGCCTTCCGCCCTCTTCCAAAGCTCCGCCACCCGCTTCTCCTCCGGGCGCCCGGAACCCGCGGGGACGCGGTTGGCAGGCCGGGCCTTTAAAAAGTTCACCGCCAGGCTCCGCCTCGCCGGGAGCGGGCTCCACCCTACTCTCGAGTCCCCGGCGGCCCCCGGCTCCTCCCAGCCCTGCGAACTACAAGATCAGCCGTCCTCCGCGCGCGCTCTCCTGCCTCTCCCGCGCCCTCCACGGGCCACGCCTGCGAGTCGGCCCGGAGGGTTCAAGAGTGCCTCTCATTGGTCTCTTCGTCCTGTCAATCACCTGGGAGGCTTGAGGGGCGGGTGGGACGTGCAGATCCGGATCCGGAGCGGCTGAAAGGCGGAAGTGGAGGCCGGAGACACCGCCGGGGGGGAGAGGAGCGGAGCCAGCCGAGCCCCGATCCCAAGTAACGCCGCCGCCCCGGAGCCGCCGTGAGTGCTCCTGTCCCGGGACCCAGTGTCTCGCTCGCGTTGAGGTGTCTTCGGGCTAGTCTTTCCTCCCGTCCATCCCGGCTTAGAGGGAGACTGACCCCTCCTCCGACCCGTAGCCCCCTCTTAAGGAGTTCCCCAGGCGTCGGGCCAGAAGGGGAGCCCTTCTCTCTTTCCCTTCCCTGCCTTTCGTGAGCCTTGGGAGACTCTCGTGGCCCCGCTCTGGCCTGTCCAGTCCAGCTGTGGGAGGGAGACCCTGAGTTCTGCTCCCTCTGCTCCCAGATTTGGAGGGATCTTTGCCAGATGCGAAGGAAGGAGCCTGTCCCCCTTCTCTTTTAGAGATGGCGAGGAGTGCCCCCTGTCGCGGTTTTCCTGCCCCTGTCCCACGAAAACAGTTGTCCCTCCAACCGTAGAGGGATTTAATGTCCATTTCCTGGAAGGAGGGGGTGGGGGTCCTGGGTGAGACCATTCCACAGGCACACGCTCCCACGACTCCTTTACTTCCTCTCCGTCCTCCAGCCAGGGAGCCAGCCGGCCTCTCAGCAGAGTTTAAGTAGGAAGGAGATGTCTTGTGCTCGTCTTGCCCCCTCCGCCCCCCAGCCCTGCTCTGTAGTTGTGGTGTTCCCGAGTTGTGTGTCTCCCTTCCTGCCTCTTAAAAATTTCAGCTGAGGTCTGCTCAATTCCAGCTACAGATCAGGGTGGATCTGCCCATTCATTATCTTCTCTCTCCCCTCCTCCTCCCCCCTGCTCCAGACTCAGGGATGTCCTCCCAGAACAGGGGAGTGGTTTCCAAGCTGCCTCAGAGGGACTGCTCCTCCCGAGACTGCTGGTCTTTAGGGAGGAGAAAAAGGACCCAAAATGAAGAGCTTGGAACTGAAAGGTCCTGAGCTATCTCTTTCACACTCCCAAACACGCGCGTGCACATGCACACACACGACACACACCCCTCCCTTATCAACAGGTGGACACCACTTCTAGTTCCAGCGTCTATCTCCCGTCCCTTCCAGTCTTGAACAAATTGTAGATTACAGAATACTTTGAGGTCACAGTGGCACCTCTAGGCCCCCTGGGTCCTTAATGTGCTCGTTTCTGTAGCCCACAGACTTCTCATAAACGTGCCAGAAAGCACCGATTCCCCCAGCCTTCCCAAGAGACAGCCCCGTGCTGACATCTGATCCTTGTCTACTGCTTGGGACTTGGTCGTGTGAAATGGCTGCTCTCTCAGATCGAGCTGGGAGGTTCTTTGTTATGTGGCCAAAGTACAGGACGGGGACTGTACCTTAATGAGAGCAGCCTGACTCTCGGAGGCCTTGGCTGACCCCAGCTATCTGCAGCAGAGGCAGGGAGGGAAGGCCCTGCGATCTTTGGGAGTTTCTGTAGCTCTGCTGGGCCATCTTCGCTGCCCTTGGATGCCCTCACAAGCGCCGGTCTTTTTGCCTTGAGATCTTTGTGATTACTTCTGGACTGTCACGGTGTCTGGCTCCTTCAACTTCTGAGCCAGACCTGGGATGCGCTTATTTCATTTCCCACTGGACAAACGAAAACGCCTTTCTTATTAGAATCAACAGGGAGATCCCAGGCGCTCTATGTGTGGGGTTCTTTGGAGGGTCACTGGAGACTCGAACAGGCAACCTCGTTTCTCTCAGCTGGGTCCCCTGTGCCTCTGAGGGGCAGAGCCAGAGAGGCCTGGCTGCCCACCGGGCTTGATTGCTGACCGAACTTACCTCCTCGGTAGTGGGCGGTGGTTTCTGGAACGCTTTGGAAGTCCCAGGACGAGGCTGGCCGGTCTTCCGAGGGGACCTTCTTTCCATGGACGTGCTCTCCCAGCTCTGCTTCTGGAATAGGCTTTCGAAGGAGAAGCTCTCCCTTCCAGAGAGACAAGGGAAGCACCACCGCTCTGCGTGGTCGGGCAGCCGCTCCCGGCGTCCAGAAGTCTCGAGAGATCTGACGCTGCTTGGCAGGAAGAGAGAGGGCTCTGTGGGGGAGAGGAGCCCCTTTCTGATGTCCTTCCTCGCCTCTCTCTCCTCTCAGGACGAGTGGGCCTTTTTCTGCCTTTATGCTGTAGAGGAGTGGTAACCACTCATTTTTAGAAATCATTTTCACGTTGCAAAGTTCTTTTCACACATGTTCCTCACCAGGGTCCAGGGCGACCGAGGGGTTGGTGCCTCCACTTTAGAGATGACACTGAAGGAATTTGCATGGCTTGCCTTAGAACATGCAGTTAGAAAGTGGTGGGGCCGGGATTTGGGGTTAAATGTGCCCTCGTCTTCCCTAAGACAAGGGCCCTCCCTTGGTCTGCTTATTAAAGGAATGGACATTCGAGGGAGCAGGCAGCAGCCCAAGCTCAGACCCCCTGGCATTCCTCATCACTGGTGCTCCTCCCCTGCCGTCTTTCTTCCCCACACCTACCCCGCCCTCCTTAGCCTGCTTCCCCACCACCTTCTCTTCTGCCTGTGCCTCCCTGTGGCAGTTAGGAGCCCCAAGTCAGTAATCTTCAGGGACCCCGAGTTTGCTGACATCTGCATGCCATTAGTTTCTTAGGAACCTAAAAGGCACGATGGCTAGAAATTGAAAGTAAAAGCGAGTGGCCTCAAGGGTCTCTCTGGGCAGGGTTGAGGGCATGGGGACCCGCAGGGCTGGCCTCGGCCTAGGCCCCTCGTTCCGCGTTGGCGCGGCCTGCTGCTTGTGTGCGCGTGGGAAGAAGGTGGCTGTCCACTGAGCGCTCTTTTCACCAGAATTTACATGGAAACAGACCAAGGTCATACATTTAAATTCAGCTCCACCAAGCAAGTACTTAGACAGACCTTTCTTCTTCTAACCCTCGCCCTGTAAACAGAGAGGCAGTGTGATGTGGTGGCAGGCAGGGGAGCTTCGGAGCAGCCAGACCTGATTGTCATCTGGGCTGCGCCATTCACCGGTTGCAAGGTTTTGGGCTTCGACTTGACCTTGCTGATCCTTTGTTTCCTCCAGTATAATGGGGATACAAAATATCTTGTAGAATCAGTAACAAGCAGGAAGGGAGCTAGTGCAGTTCCTGGCTACAGAATAGAGACTCAACAAAATAACAATTTGGGGGCTCCATGGGGTGTTGAAGGCGCATCATAATTCACCCCCATGTTTCCGATCCAGCGTTTGTGCCAGGTGTCTCGGTGATGCCCAGCGCACTGCTGGGTGGTGTCGCATGTTTTCTTGTTTCGTAGATATTAAACAGAATCGACGTGGGTTGTGATCCCATTTTACAGAACAGAATGCCAACTAAGGCCATGATGGTGCCCCTCCCGC